GTGTTGTTGTTGTTGTTGTTGAGAATTTTTGGACTTTATAAAACACGGTTTTTGCCAAGTAAACAGCTTCAAAAACGTCCCTGAAGTATTATTTCCTATAGAATTGTAAAATCCAATGTACATCGGTCTTTTTCTGTTTTTAAAATGTGTTAATTGGAAACTGTCGAACAAAGGCAGCGTTCTCAAGAGCAATTGTGCGAATACATTGTGAAACTGAAGTTCCGAGGGTCTACTCTACTTTTAATACGATGCCGCAACCCAAAAGAAATTTCAGAAGTTAATAAACGTAAAAGAGGGAAAAAATCGAACGAGGAGACTGACACTAAGGCTAACTGCACAAACACATAAGGGACAGTGATAACTTACGGAATTTCAAATTGGTAAGAATTGTTTGTGACTCATTTCGCTGGCTCTTTCTTGGCTCGGAAAACAATAGTACCTTGAAATAAACTGGTTGTGGTGTTTTCTCGACTAAAAATCTTTTTTTTTTTAATTTTAAATAAGCTCTGATATTAGTTCGTTTAAGGCTGAACATCTTTTTGGCTTCTGCAGATATTTTGATGAATTTTTGACATTATCATTTATTTGCAAATTAGAATAACCATTTATTTTATGATAAAATTTTATGCTCATTACTATTCTTTGTATAAAATGGTTATCATCCTAATCAGCATTCCATTGTTCCAGTCATTCAACCTCGTATAATTTCCCCTGAGGCTTAATTCAAATCCCTCTTATCCTCTGCCGTTTTAAGATGAATTTTAGCGCGTATGAAATCAGAGGTCCGTGATTAAACCCTTGCATTCAGCAGGACAATATACTGACCATTTATCAGTTGTTGAAGTGTTCTAATCAGTAAGGTTTTAACTTTTGAGAAGAAATTAGACGCTGGGCACGTTTAGTGGTTAAGGTTACAGACAATTCGATTATCCAATGAAACAAAACTCGAAGAGGACGGTGCGTGGACAACTACAAGCAACATCCTAGAGTTCTCTGAGGCAGTCCCGGCTGCAAAAATTAACTTTTATTTCTTATTCTCCAGAGATTCCTGATTTTCTCGATGCTGACGAATGTGAACTTATCATAGCTCTTGCTGAGAATAAAAGGCTTAGAGATAATCCTAAAATAACGGATAGTAGAGGAATCTTATATGAAGATCCTGTCAACACTTTCAAGTTGTGGGACTTAAACGGAGATGATTACATTGACACAGAAGAGGTTAGTGGAACTGTACATCCTCTTAAATCAAAAATTCTCTTCGTAAGTGTATACTGTTGCTTGTTGAATCCACTGCAATCATCAGTCGTTTCCAAGAACAGGTTTTCCCATTTCACTTTTTCTGTCTCTTTGTCGCACCTATAGATCGTCAGAGATTTGTGCAGAAACATCCCTGCCAACCAAGAGTGGTATTTGAGTAAATAGTTTGCAATATGAGGCGGGCTGCTCCTCCTTGAACACACTTCCATGAGCTCGAAGTTAATAACATTATTTCCTCAGGCCCGAAATTGGGAAGATAAGAGGGAGGAGAGTTAGTTAGTGCTTTCGCAAGGAAAAAGACTCTTTCATGCTCCACCTACTTATGAAACACTTTCAGCGAATGCGCACACTCGGTTGAACATTATATATTTTCAATTACAGATTGTTCTGATTCCTGGAAAAATGGATCTCAAGTTTACAGAGATAAACGCCACTGAAATGTATGTCGTCAACTTAAAATCCCATATAATTGCTTTTCACTCTTTCAGTCTCTATTCATCCTCGATAATGCCCTGAATGCCACTTATTGGATACCCACTAGTAGACTGTAGTGCAATAGCCGACGTCTAAAGTTGCTAATAAAATTTATTATGGCTCCAATCAAAGCTGTAATGTCAGTGAGCAACTCAGAATTTCACTTAAGTACATGCAGTTTCTGAAAAACAAGTGAATATGCTAGTCGAGGGTTTTGCCTTCGCGCCTCACTGGTTTATTGTAATTTTGTTCTGAGTGGCTTTTCTTTGATTTTAAATTGACAGGATGAAGTCATTAGAAATGGATAAAGACGACAACGGTTTGTAAACTTTTCCTGTTTCATAACATTGTCTTTGTGTCATAACTGGTCACATTTTTTCCCGGTTTCCAAAGCATGAAACGATTTTGGATATTTCTATCTGCACCCCGGACAGGATGCTAGTCCACCCTTGGGTTACCCCCAACGTTAAATTTGCGATACTTATTTACACACGTAGGTGGTGTGAGGCACCATGGCAGTAACGTGTCTCACCCAAGAACTCAACGAAAGACCCTGTCAAGGGCTAAGCACGTAGACTCTCGATTTGAACTCCAAACCGCTAGCCATTAGGTCATCTCGCCTCTCATTCGTTCACCTCGAGTCTGAGTTATCATATTTTATCGTCATCATCGCCACCACGATCACTAATTCATCATTACTTTCATGACTAACCAAATCTTGCTTGGATATTTTTTTAAATCAGGGAAAATTGACTTGACTGAGTTCAAGAGCATAGAACTTGAGAGGATGCGAGACTACATAGCTGCTCTTTTGAATGATTCTTCATTGAGGAGAATAGCCAGCAGCAAGATTTCATGGTTATGGCACGATGAAGACGAACTGCTAAGATATCAGCCGGAACTACTTGACGGATTTCACGAACGGTACGTGTACACTACAACAGGCACCTTGAAGTGGTCCCTTCTGTTCGTAATTCCTTTCCTAACACGGCTTTGACCCTCTTAAAGGCGGACACCCAGTCCCTAAGATGGATTCTTTAGTGTCCGTCCAACCGGGGTGTCCATCTTCAAAAGAGTTGACTGTACTCCTGTATTTCACATTATCAGGGTTTGTATAAAGAGACTGTTTTGTGTTAAGCTTGCTCCCACTTAGTATCTAATAGCAAAATCATTTTGCTTCTAGCCTACAAGCAATTACCAAGATACCAAAGGAGATATTACAAGAAAGTGAACCAATGCAGGCAAGAATATGACTTTACTAAGCGTACTTCAGAAATACCAATTAAAACTTCTTCACTTTATTTATCCCACTCTTAACTTATGTTCTGGTTTGGAGTCAACCCTCGCAAGGTTATTTCGAGGGGTTCGGAGACCCCTAGGACCTCCCTAGAAATAAACGGCAGGCTAAAGGTTTTTTTAAATTACCTACGAGCGTTTAATATGTTCCCTTATTCACCTTTTATCATCTGATTCCAAAAACGAAAAAAATACTGTCCGACAGATAATACTAAATTAAATAAATTCAATTTTAGGTGTCACAATACGAAGAAGGTAGTTATCAATATTGTCAGCAAGACAGCGAGCCTACAATTAAAGGAGTTCCGTGCTGTCTTTATGGCGACATGAATCAGTGCAGAATATGCAGGTATCTCATAAATCTTAAAAAAGTATATTTTTATAAATAACAGGAAAATAAATCAGTAATTTTATGATATAATAAAGTGATTAATGCAAGCTATAACCCTAATTTATTTTCATTAAAATAAATCATTAAAAATAATGAAATAAAATATATTTTTTTTTACAATGACTAAAATTCATGTCTCTTTATATTATTTTGGAAGGTTTATAACAATAACATATTTTTTAACTGATGTTGACGATGGAGGGGAAGTTGTTGTACCACTTGCCAACAACAAGTTTGAGGTATTTTCGTCCTAGTTATGTGTATACGGACCGATATGCATTTCAGATATGTTGAAATCTTTATTTCACGTGTACATCGTGAACCTAAACTTGGTTTTTATGAGTGGTGTTCACTTTATGTGTCGCTAGTAATTTCGTGATTGCCATGGTTTTTAGTTTCTATTTTAAGAATCGTTTAAAAAACTTACCTTTTTAAAATGGCTTTTAACTTAGAACTATTTTTTTTCTCTACATCTTAACCTTTAAACTTTTTAATTGTCTATACTTAGTTATACTGTTATACGTTTGTATGATATACTTTTTATGTTTTTATATTTTGTATCACTTTTCTTATTTTTGTAAATGGATGATGGCGCTATATGATGTATTACTATTATTATTATTATTATTATTATTATTATTATTATTATTATTATTATTATTATTATTGTTATGTGATTTTTGACCAACTTTCATGACCAATCCGAGAAGTAATCTAAATGCAATATTGACTTGCACCTAAACGTTTTCTCTTGCTTGGTCCCGGCTACACGTATTTACTTCTAGTTTCTAAAGGTTCTCAGTTTTGCCCACCCTGTTGTGCCAGACTAAAGTAATAACTATTGAGCTTGGTTCTACTTTATTCAGTAGGACGATCTCTAATCTACATTAATAAGAACCTTTTCTTATTTTTTAGGAAGAAGTTATGAATAATTCAGGAAACTGGACGGGTTTCTTTACTTACGCCAAGACCACTGGAGGTCGCAACTCTTTCAAGGTTGACATCAAGTTTGAAGTCGACGGAGCTAACAAGATTCTTGTCGGTAAAGGTCATGATGCAAGCGGTGCATTCGAGTTAATTGACAGTTTAGTGACAGGGGACATTGTTCGATTTCGTAAAAAGTACCTTAATCAGGAGAATAATGACGTGCTGATTAAATATGCCGGAAGATTAAAGGGTAATGCTCAGATAGAAGGAAAATGGTGGATTCCAGGAGAGAAGAAAATTCATGGATTTTTCTTCATGCGTTATGAGGCCTATGAGGTATGCTGAAGATTAAAATCTCACTTTTTCGTCAATTTTGGTCTGTTTCTCAATTCCACTTTTTAGCACCCTCAGTGAGGTCAATCATCAAGCCAAGGTAGCTAATTTCAGTGCAATAGAAATGGGAATAAACGCACTAAACGTCCCTTATTTCGGAATCCTGTCTTTTTGTTCCCTTAAACTTGTTTCGGATGTCACCTAATTACCCTTTCATAAAAATGAAGATAACATCTTCCCTTAAATACGAATTGACGAACGCATTTAGTTATCAACATCACTTCCCTATATAATTCCTGTGCTGGTTTGTAGCTGACGTAACGGTTGACGTCACGCAACTGATGTCACGGCGGCCATGTTGGTCGACAAGAACAAAAGAACTCTTTTTTCATGCAACCTCTCCGAAAAAAAAGTTATTGCTCTGTCAATCAACATGGCCTCCTCGTCACGTGGTTGAAGACCAAGAATAATGACGAATCTATGGTCTCGACTTATCTTTTTGTTTCATTTACGTTACAGAAATGGATGAATGATGCGCTAGGAAAATGCAACTCGTATGAATATTGCTCAAAGGGAAATCTAGTTATCAAACCTCAAAGAGGTAAGGCGATCATGTGGTATAACCACGTGATCAATGACGAAGGCAACTGGATTGGAGGCTTAGATAACAGGATGCATTATGGGCATTGTGACGTCAGTAGTGGAGAAAAGTGGATAGGCACAAACTGGATTAATGTAGATGGCGAGGGAGACATGGAATTACGAGCTTGGAGAAAGGGAAGCAATCTTTTATCGGTTGCTAGAAGGCACGGAAATCAGAACATACTACAAAGAATGCAAAAAAGTAGAAACAGAATTCATACCGACGTCATCGAAGAAGAAATGCAAAGTGATATGGAAAACACTGAGGAATGGACGTTTCACGATTCTCATCCAAAGGAACGATTTGTTCTTAACGCTGTGACGTCCCTTTTAGAAACCCTTAAGGAGGATGAACTGCGAAGTGTATCTAAGAAAGTGCACGAGAAACTTGAGATGTTGTGTGTTCCTCTGGTGCTAAACCAAGGAGGAAAAATTTCCTTGGTGGATGGTAGTAAGGCAGATTGATAAAGCGTTTAGAAAATGCAGCTAAAATGTACAGTTTCTAGTCATATTTATCTTGAAGTTTCAACTTCCAAAAGCAGTTATTAAAAAGTTATGTATCTCATATAATTAAGATTACAACAAATTAAAAACTGTGGCAAAACTGTAAATATATTTTCTGTAATATATATTGCATATTTTGGTATAATTATTTTATTATTTCAGTAATATATCGTAATTACTTTTAGACGCACGAATTATAACCTGTTTTCATGACAAATTAAAAGACGGTGTTTCTGAAAATTCTTATCACTATTTTTGTTATATTTTAGTATACCATGTATATTTAATGTTACTGAAGCCTGAAGTGTGATGTTGCGCTTTCAAGGGAGCCTTCACGATTTTCGGTTTTTGATACCTCTGATGGTTGACAAGAAACCACGAGGGTGTTTAGCCAATCGCATAAAACAGTGGAATAACAAAGCGAAAGTACTCTTCACGGTACAATGGACTGAAAATGGTTCCACTTTCTGAAAAGTGCAGAGATGGCAATGGCAGCTTTCTGACTCCTTTATTTTAATTTCCTAGCATACATGCATGCGGGCGGGACCGACGTTATATTACATCAAAATAACCTTATAAAGTGCTAGCCTTTTAACTGAGTTGGTTGCATTTAAGAAGATGAAAACAAACGAAAACAAAAGCGAAATGACGACAAGATATTTCTCATATTTATCTGGGCCACTGCAAATTTCAATCTATATAATAACTATATTTTTTAAGCAAATATAGGTAAAGATGTTTCGCTTGCTCACAAATGTGGCCGTGATTAGAGAGGCTAGTTTCAAATATCAAGCTATAAAGCTCAGTCACCAAGGTTCATAGCTTGTGCCAATTATAAACGAAGAAACACTGGACAAGAGTTTGAGCAGCTGAGTGCCAGGTACTTGCTGCCCACCTGTTGAAAGTGGATGAATAAATTATCAGGTGAATAAATTAACTTTAAGCCAAGGCAGATGTTCAAGGATGATTCAACTTCACAGTAATTTCTTCAAAATAGGAAAATTTTAACAGAATCATCAGGTGTTTTCCCGCATATTATGGGAACTTGGGTTCATGATGTTGTGATAGTAATCTACACCCTAATTACGTTTCACGGAGATCATGTGGTCAAATCAAAGCAATTTGGTGATGGTCAAATCAATCAGTGTCACGACAGAAACGGAGACTGCTCGACTGAGCGAACTAAGAGTAACGTTCTTCTGAGATTACCGCGACTAGATGCAGTAAAGGTAATGAATTTTTTCCTTTTCGTGTTTTATAGAAAGCGAGAATTATATATACCAATCCAGATGGTTAGCTTGGAAAAATACGTAACACTTGTGTCTTGACTCTCTTGCTTTCTGCTTGCCTCTTGCCTCTCAGTTTGCACTGACAAAGGATAAAATCGGAGTGTTTCTTTGAGTAACACCTTCAGAAAATGCAAAGGGTCAGCTTTCAGTACTAAAACCTTAGAGTTGCCCGCGCATTTTTAGCAGCTATTACTGGAATGCTAGAGCTTATTAAGAGAGTAGCTTCACATCAGCTGTTATTATTTCAATCAGCAGCCTAAGTGCTTTTTTGTTATCTTTGCTAGAAGTTATGATAGTTGTAGGCTTGTCATAGTACAAGAAAAAAAATCGAAGCCCTAGGTATAGCCGTTCAAAATCCATGGGACCATAGCTAACAAGAATTACTCATACCCTTAATTCTTTGGAGAAAAGTGAACTTAAACGATTCAAGCGGGACACAATGTAGAGTTTCCGTTAGATTTATTTATTATTGTTGTTATTTTAAAACAGCTAATAAAGCTAGTTCCTTTCTTAAAACTACATAAAATGGATTTTATTTAAATGTCTATTTCAAATAGAGCTGCACCTCGTTCTAAAGGAACATGTGCTAGAACTTTAAGAACAGTGTTTTGGGACAAACGAAGACTAAATTTTGAACTAATTAAATCACTTACATGCAAAGTTGTCATATTTACCGTTCAAGTTATGCACGGAGCTATGAGCATTTCCCCACGCCTGAGCAACTTATATAAATTAGATTCATTGCACAGCATAGTGATATGAACAGCTGTTCCAGGTCAATAACTCTACTGTCATGACTTATTGAGAAGTCAGTAAGTACTCATTCCAAATAAACAAGAAAGTTAAACTAAAGTGTGTAAAAGAATTTTCACCAACAGGCAGGTAATACAAAGATACTCAATATAGAGAGAACACAGCTATATCTGTCTATAGGCCAAAAATGTCTGTAGATCGCTCTTTGCCACTGCAAAACTGATGGAAAGAAAGAATTGGCTAGGCGTCTGTTCAAGTTTTTTGGAAGGTGAATTTTTAAGACTATAAATTATTGAGACACTGTCGTCAAATAGAGTATATTTCGAAAAACAAAATAATCTCTATCCCTTTCCCCCTTCCACCTTATCCTCAATTGGTTGTATGCTGCTTCCTCAGCGGACAACAAGGCAATATTTTGTAAAATTTTTAGGAATTTCGCCCATTTTATGGGAATGTCTTTATATTAAAAAAAATATTTATTATTATTCTAGGTGGGTTACACTCAAGAAATGGAATTGACAAAAGGTAGCATTCACACAGTGAAGACTGTTAGTTTACAGCCACCAGTGTTTGGTACGTGAGTACTCTTAGCTGTCCTTCAACAAATACAATTGTCCTATAGCGCTGAACCTTAACATATATATACAGTGGAAGCACTCTTGAGCAGACAGCCTTGGAACGCGAAAAAGATGTTCGTAACTGGAGCTGGGCTCTTACGGGAATGTAAAGAAATAAAGAGTTTGTATGACAGTTGAGAAAACGGGGATTTGTGAAGGTGGCTGTAAGTAGAGCTGTCTGCTTACGAGAGTGTCCGTTGGGAGAGCTTCCCCTTTATTAATGATTCACATATTAATATCATACACGGATTTCTTTGTTTCACGTTCGACAGAAATTCCAAACTTCTTCACGGATGAGGAATGTGGAATGATTATAGATTTGGCTCAAGAAAAAGGTCTGAAAGATAGTCCGTTTACCCCAGATACTGACAATATCGATGATAAAGATTCCATTGACGGCATATTAAAGGCATGGGACAGAAATGAAGATGGATTTGTTGACAAGGATGAGGTAAGATTCCATCCACGATATAACTTTACTTTGGCTGGTTCTTTTGGTACACACTGGTTGGTTATGGTATGAATTCAAGTTTCGCTCGTGTTTAACAAATAGTATGACACAAATACTGAGGTTTTTTCGAACCTTTCCTATGTTAAGAAAGAACTATAACTTTTCCTGCTATTGTATTCCACTTTACTGAACAGGCTCTTTATCAACCTGGTAAACGAAACGTTTACATGACAGAAGAAGACGTGCTAGAAATGTAAGTTAATTTGAGTTCCTGCCGATTTAGAAACAAAACGTTCTTTTTATGTTTTGTTATTTTCCTCCTATTTCTGATTTATTGCAATGGTTTATTTTAGGTTTAAAGCCCTAAACCTTGATCAAGATAAAGATGGTATGTAGTTAGAGGATCCTCCTCCTCAGTCCTCCTCCTCCTTCTTCTTCTTGTTATTATTATTATTATTATTATTATTATTATTATTATTATTATTATTATTATTATTATTTTCTCGCTCTTTTACTTTACTCCGGTTAGTGGAACTGTTCCCAAATGAATTGACTTGAAAAGAGCTACAAAGTTTCTGAATTTTAACTCTTTCGAGGTGGCCAATTTCTCTTTGCTATGATCTTTTTTCACACAATCTGATTTATGCAGCGCTAAATAGATTTTATATCAAACCTGTAGGAAGAGTTCCGTTAAAGAAGTTAGACCACACATCATTGGAAAATATCCACGCTTATATTGACAAGGAAGTAACAAAGAAGCCGCGCATGCGCAGCCAAAACAGTAAACAAGTTTGGTTATGGCACGATGATGACGAACTTCTGCAGTACGAAGGTCTGCTTGAAGACTATCACGAGAGGTAAATTAAAGTTATTTCAATGTTTGCACCAGTTCATATTTGTCTATTTATTCACAAAAGAACAAATTCAAACAAATAGACAGCTAAAATGGAGATCTTACTGTTTTAAGAAACGCTTTCTTTAATTTTGCAGAATTGAGCAGCTTACCAAGCTACCAAAGGCAATCCTACAGCAAAGCGAGCCACTGCAGGTAAGTTAAAGGGATATCTTCACGGTAGACTAGCAATTTTAGTTTTCCATTGGCAGACATTTCCCATATACACTTCAAAAACGGAGATTTTTGTAGAAGTGTATATACTTATATTATATCCAGTTACGCCCAAAAAGTTTCCTTGAAAAAATGCTCCATTTTTCTTGTTTTTTCCCCATAGTTTCGAGTTGGGATTATTTCCCTCGACCTTTCCTGTTTCCTGAATGAAAGAGGTTGATCTCTTTTGTCTTATTCCCAAGGTGGTACGTTACAAAGAAGGAGGTCATTATCACTGTCACCATGACAGCGAAGAAATCGCGCATGACAAACCTTGTTGCTTGTATGGCTCTAAAGATTGCAGGCTCTGTCGGTAAGTAAGTTACACGCCACATATCCGAAAAAACCAGCTTTACGGCAATTTCTAGCAGGGTATTTTCATGATAGTGTTACTTTTTAACTGTCAGATATCTGACGATCATGGTTTTTCTAAATGACGTCGAAGAAGGAGGAGAATGCGCATTTCCCATTGCTGATAACAGAACTTTCAGTTGGAAGGTATGTCTAAGTAAAAAAATCATTACGTCGAGAAACTATGACAATACTGCCTGCCGCGTTATTTTAACTTAGGCCAAATGTAATGATGTTAGGATTGCAGCTTTATTAAAAAAAAGAAATCAGAAAAATTTATATGCCAGGAGCGCCCCAGTTGTTCAAAAGGTAAATAATGCTATCCACTGGATAAACCTCTATCTAATGGGTAGAGATTAGTGTCCCTAATCCCTATCCACTGCATAGTGATTTATCAAGTGGACAGTGCTATGCAGCGTTTGAACAACTGGGGCCTGTTTGAGAATTCTCTCTGACGATTAGCTGTTCCTTAATGAGAATATGCCATTTTCACGTTGACGACATTTGTCTTCATGTACACTACCAGAAATTATTTCGTTTATGTTCTCTTATTTAAATTTGTCAATCCCGCTGAGGTTTAAAAAACAATAGCCCTAATTTGCACAAGTAATCAACAAACTGAAGGATTCTGGTAATTGTAGTAAAATGATGTCATCGTGCAGTTATCCTATTAGTTCTCCTTTTTTGGCTATTTTGAGATGTAGAGCAAGACTGGGTCGGGATCGTGCCGAGTTGCATGTGAAACTGTTGTGGGGATGCCAAAACTTCTTTCATTGGCTGCTACAAAGTTACACCGGAAACCGGGTCAATCAAAACAGTACTAGGATGCAATTCCACTCAATATAGAGCGTTTTCGTATGACGTCACATCCGCCATATTCGTGTTCCAAAACAATGAAATTGCAGCCATGTTGGTGTCCCAAACCAGTGTTATTGTTCCAATAAATTTGCATAGCCGCTGGTCACGTGACTGTAAACACTCTATATAAACTGAAAGAGTTAAAAGATAAGATATCCGGTAAAAAAGAACGTATTTTCATCTTTTTCTCTGTTCGTAGGAGTGGTCAAAGCAATCACCGCATAGATGTAACATGGTAACTAACTGCGCTGAGTCTAACTTAGTTATCAAACCTCAGAGAGGCAAGGCAGTAATGTGGTACAATCATAAGCTACGTGGTTCACAGGGATGGTTCGGTGATTTAGACCCGCTTTCATATCAGGGAAGCTGTGAAGTCAAGAAAAGTGAAAAATGGGTCGCGAAGATTTGGGTCAACATTAACGGCGATGGAAGGAAGGAATTACGTGCGTGGAAAATGGGCCACAACTGGCTGGCAGAAAATAATCGTAATGAAGAAATCATGAATATGTTGCAGACAGAAGTTGTAGAAGAAACAGTGGCTGAAAATAGATATACGAAACAGAAAAATGTGGAGGTTAATGACGGAGTGAAAATTGATTTAGTTGGTCATACTAACGTCAAAGAGGAAAGCTCTTGGGAAGAAAATACTGACGCTAAGGAGGAAAGTGTCAAATATTATACTCAAAATAAGCTGCAATTAACAGAGGAATCTTTAAAGGATTCTTCCAAGGCCACCCCTGAGGGGCCAAAATTGTCAAGAACAGAAACATCTTCCCCTCTTCCACTAACGGAAGAGCAAATGACTCCTAAAGGGCCTCCAGTAGGCCAGTTGCCCACTCAAGGATTTGAAGGTAGTCGCATTGTGCAGTCTATAATGCTTTTATTGGAAGAACTTGATCAAGTTGAACTTGAAATTATCGCGAGGAACTTACACACGAAACTTAAACTCGTTTGTGTCCCACTTATTGTGAATCCAATGGGGCGACTTTAGCTCGAACAAATATTGAACGATCGACGTTTTTAAAATTGAATATAGAAAACTTGTTGCTATGACTAATTACAAAAGTGTTTATACCTCATCACTTCCGGGACCATTATCGTATGTTGTTGCTAGGTAACGTGGTTACTGAGCAAGTGAAAATTGGCTTCCTGTTTTCGTTTTCCACGTGTTTTTGGATTACCGGTCGCGCCGGTCGCGGGACAATTTTTCGTGCCATCAGTGGTATCGCTTCCTTGTCGTTTAAGGTACTGCATGATTCCAGTGCAAAGTTACGGAAACATATAATTATGAATCAAGAGGATTTATCATATTTATGGCGAAAAGTCTTTTACATGTTTGTATCTACCAAGAAGACTCGCGCTGTAAAAGGACTGTCTGAACACAAGAGCTTTTTAGTTTCTTCACCAAATGGTAAAGTTGAAAGTTTTTCCTTTTCCATTTCATTTAAAACAGTTCAGGGTCGACATCGAGTTACGTGTTGCGTGTTACTTTCGGCGGAAGTAAACCGGGTAGTCATTTTGTTTTCAAATCAATTGAAAAATCTGTTTCTTGAAACTTTCGCATACTATTTGCAAAATTTCAAAAACAGTCTGGCAAATTATGTCCGAGGGCTACTTGCGGAACACAATATTCCATTCTCATTTCTAAATGAAATAAATATCACGATAGTACTAAATATTTTAAGCCAAAGGTACATTTCTTTTTTCAGGAAAACACGATTTCCTGCATTGGGTCACGTGACATTGGGTGTGTCCTGATGACGTTACAGGGAGAGGCAACCGGTTCCTTTTAGGGATAGCCCGAGTTCGCCCTCCCCGCATTGCCCTCCAAACTCTCCTCACCCCTAACCCCCATGGAAGGCCTGTGGCCAAGTGACATCGGGTGAGTCCTGATGAAGTCACAAATCAAATCAAATCAAATCAAATCACTGGTTTATTTCCCTTTTGCAGTCAGAAGACTGAATTGTAGGATACCTTACAAGCTGTGATATATATACAAATATGCTGCATTTATTGACAAGATTGATATTTAACACTAACAAAATTTGAGAAACGTTCAGTCCTTGTGGCCATAGGCCTGCTAGAACTCCCTGATCTTAGACACACACTGATAGATATAGGCACTAGTCTGTTGCGTATTAGTGAGTATAATGGGTTACCTGGCCGAACCTTACCAAGCAAAAGTACCGGTCCCTTTTAGAGATAGCCTGAGCACCCCCCCCCCCCCCCCCCCCCCCCCCCGCATTGCCATCTACAATCTCTTCCCCCTTATCCCTATAGAAGGCCTGATAGTCAGGCTATTTAAGGGACCACCGTTTGTCTTATTTTAAATGTAAGGACCTGGAAAAAGGGGAATTAAACATTTGAGCCAGGCAAAACATTCTTATCAGCTTCAAAGCTGTTGCAAATCCATTTTTTCGCTTTATGAAATTAAATTATAAATTATGATGAAACAAAAGTACAGCATGTTATAGATAGTGTCTATGGTACAATGATGGTCCTATTTCTACTCTCTGAATGTAATTACTATTTATGATATTATTCATGTGGTGAAGTATAAATTTAAATAATTGTACAACCCCTTACTAAGAAAGTGGATTATCATCGGCCAAGTAGAAAGCGATCCAGTTAAGACTTGGTTTAACGTTTCAACCATCTGAGCCTTTGTCTACGGTGTTAAAATAGCACACATCTTTTTGCCACTTCGTGAATTTTTCAGTGACCACATATCTGTTCACTTTGTCAATTATTTCACATTGTGCTCATAAGTGTAGTTCCACAGATGGAGCTGAATAGTCGTTGGTAGTAATCAAGATTGTTCAAGTTTTCGTAGGATCATCAGCACAAGGAACAGTTCCATAAACTTTGTACACAGCCATGTCATACTTTCGTCTGCATCGTTTCATTTCCTCGTTTTGCTGGCGAAAATATTCCAACAGTTCTTCTGTGATTCTAGTTCCCTTAGTCTGGCCATTCTTTTCCTCCGGAAGATCCTGGCAATGTTTTATGCTGGTTGGTTTTTTACTGTCGATTGTCTTAGAACTTGACTTTTCTTGTTGATCAGTATTACACGAACTCATAACGCAGTGTTTTCAGTAGACAGAACTGAGAAAAATGAATAGCTAGACTGAAAAGCAACGAATCAGAATTTTGCACATTCCAGGATTTCGAAATCTTCGGCTTTTTTAACACCCTCCCAATTGAAATGACTGACGTCGGTTTAAAGCGCGTCACTTCCGCTCATTTCCTCTGTCTATGTACGCTCTATTTTTTTTGAACTAGAAAAAGATTACATTTGCATTAGTAACCGCTTGAAAATAACCTTGAGGAAGAATAATGGCAAGACTACGGTTTGCAGGCTAACAACCGTAACACAGAAACAAATGAAAGCTCTTACTGTCTAATCAAAAATCCGAAAGTGGCGTAAATCATTTCTCAGCGATAGCATTTCTTGCCCTCTAAAATAACCTGAGGAAGGCTTGTGGCATGGAGTGTGTCCTCTTGACGTCACAAACATTGCCCTCTAAAATTCACTCACACCTAAACCCTACCTAAACCCTATGGAAGGCTTGTGGCTAAGTAACATGGAGTGTGTCCATGTTCACCCCTCCCCCCATTGCCCTCTCACCCCTCACCCCTCACCCCTAACCCCTATGGAAGGCCAGATATTCAGGCTATTTGAGGGATCACTGTTTGTTTATTGTAAATGTAAGAACCTGGAAAAGGAAATAACAGAAATTCGAGCCAAGCAAAACATTCTTATAAGCTTCAAAGCTATTCCAAATCTACACCGTAATTTTTAGGGAGTTATTATAACTCCAAAAATGGAGTAAAAATTTTAGGTACAGGATAACCCCTTTTTTGGGGTTATTTTAACTCCTAATTTAACTCCGAATTTGGGGTCATTTTTACTCCTGAAAAAGAGTTCTTTTTACTCCCAGTCTTGGAGTTAAAATTACTCCGAAATGGGGTTACTTGTACTCCTAAAATAACTCCACGAAAAATAACTCCACTGTAAGGAGTTAAATTAGCCCCACTAGAGGAGTTATTATAACTCCCTGAAAATTACAGTGTACTTTTTCGCTTTATGAAATGAAATTATAGATTTTGATGAAAGAAAAGTACAGCATATCTTAGATAGTTTCTTTAGTACAAATGACTGCTGGTCCTATTTCTTCTCTATGGATGTAATTACCATTTATGATATTATTTATGTGATTGAGTGTAAATTTCAATAATTGTACGCCTCAAAACTGAGTGGATTATCCTCGGCCACTATAGAAAGCGATCCAGTTAATTAAAATTAAAAGACATGATTTTTCGTTTCAGCCATATCAGCCTTTGTCAGTAGTATTAAAATAACACACATTTTTTCAGCAGTTCGTAAACAGTTTCAGTGACTACATATCTGTTCACTTTGTCAGTTATTTCACATTGTGCTCATTAAGTGTAGTTCCACAGAGAGAGCTGAAAAGTCGTTGGTAGTAATCAAGATTGTTCAAGTTTTCGTAGGATCATCAGCACGAGGAACAGTTCCATAAACTTTGTAGACAGCCATGTCATACTTTCGTCTGTATCGTTCCATTGCCTCGTTTTGCTGGCGAGAATATTCTAACAGCTCGTCTGTGATTCTGGTTCCTTTAACTTGGCCATTCTTTTCCTCCGGAAGATCCTGGCAATGTTTTATGCTGGTTGGTTTTTTACTGTCGATTGTCTTAGTACCTGACTTTTCTTGTTGATCAGTATTAAACGAACTCATAACGCACTGTTTTCAGTAGAAAGAACAGAGAAAAATGAATAGCTAGACTGAAAAGCAACGAATCAGAATTTTGAACTTGCCAGGATTTCGAAATCTTCGGCTTTTTTAACACCCTCCAATTGAAATGACTGACGTCGGTTTAAGGCGCGTTACATCCGCTCATTTCCTCTGTCTATATACGCTTTTTTTTTTTGAGTAAAAAAAGATAACATTTGCATTAGGTACCGCTTGAAAATAACCTTGAGGAAGAATTAATCATTGCAAGACTACGGTTTACAAGCTTACAACCGTAACACAGAAGCAACTGAAAGCTCTTACTTTCTAAGATCAAAAAGCCGAAAGTGACGTAAATTAATTCTCAGTGAAACCTTTGCAATAACAAAATGTCCACGCCGCCGAACAGCTCGTATAATTTATACCTTTTTTCCTCACTATCTTGACCAGCGGTTTCTATGACGAGTGCTACGAACTCAGCAGGTCAACTCCGAGAAGAAACTACCATGCAACGGTTAGCAATAAACGTGGTAAATTTTTGCTAAGGAGGTTTAATAGGCACATGTTTATGAAAAAGATGCCGGCATTGGCAAAGTATAACTAATCGCTTCAAATTCAATTGACTTGTCAAACCACCTTCGCCGTTTATCTGAACATCGTGCGACAGAAGAGTACATTTAATAAAGCCGGCGCTTTTTGTTCTTTTTCTTCCTTCGTGGGTACACCAGTCCTGTTTTATTGAAAAGCAACAGAATTCCCATCAGTTAACATAGTCTGTTGTGCACTGATCAGGAGCTGATCGATCCGTTTCGCCTCTCTTACGAATTTAATCCTTTCACTACCTAAAATCATATAATTATATAGATCTGTAATAATTTTGTTCAGTCTGAGTCTGCAGATCAATCCCGTGATGCGACCATTTAAATTCGACTTCTCAAAAGTTAATTTCACATTCCTTGATTAATTTGTTTTCCCAACTTCCGAATTTCAGTTTTTTGTGTGTCTACTTTTACATGAAGTTATTTGAAATGTACAACACGTGTTATGGACTCATAAGCTACAACAGCGGTTACAACTGGTAACGACAATTATAAACTTTTATAGTCACAGTGGCCTCAAAAATAAAGCTCGCCAAGAAGAAATTTGAAGGAACAAGTCTTTGTTTTTCAGTAAAACTTTTATAGTCAAAAACTGCAGATGAAATTATCAGAGAAAATGGATACTCACAAAAGCTACCAGCTTTTTATAAATATAATCAGTTATTCAGTTCTTCTTAGCTAATCAGCTACACACTTCAAATTGCCTCTTGGCTAGCTTTATTTTTTCGGCCCACTGTGACTTTGAAAGTTTATATTTTATTTCTTCTTAGCTAATCAGCTAAACCCACAAGATGGTAGAAAATTCATGTTAAGTCAACTGTTGAGGATGAAATTTCGTCTAAGTATGGCCACGAAGGAAATCTAAAACAGTCTTTGAGCGACTTAAACCTCGTTCCCAGAGTGCCTTTCCAAACCATTTAATCCTTTGTATACTGGGAAAGTGCTGCCAACCGAATGGGGATTGTTGAGTCCAAACCGATAATTTTCAATGAATTTAGACGCCATTCATTAAGAGGTCTTTAAGCAATCTATGCACGTGGTCATCTCTTTTGAACAACATTTTGAACTGATTAATCAAGCACTCTATATAGAAATTTGAAATGTTTCATAGAACAGCTGTTTACAATGAATCCTGCTTCTGCGTCATCGCCTCTTTCCTTTGTTCTTGTGCAGGAACCTGCCAAAATCTCAAACATAGACTTAAGCCACAAGCACAAAAAGTTCATATACAGCGTGCAGTTTCAAACAAGAACTTTGGTTTTATGTACGAGAATGGAAAACTGGAAGTATTTCTTTGTATCTAGTTTCGTCTTGTTATGTTGTTTGAGGGACGCAAAGAGTGAGAAATCGGACAACGAAATTGATAAAACTAAATGGACTCCTAAACTGCGAGACCCAGTGAAGGTAAAATACTTTATTAAGTCTGTTCCAGCAAGTTTCAGTTCAAAATGTCGGATTTCTGTTTGAAATTGAAAACAAAATCATTCCTTTACTGCCCTTAGCAGCCAGCTTAGGCAATTCATTGAAGTTTCGCAGAAAAAAGTCGAGAGAAAATAAACCGAGTGGGACTTTTCAAGAACAAAGTAAAATCTTCATGCTTTTGCACGCTTGACTTCACCAGCGAACTACAGAATTCGTATTATTACAGCTTTGACGGAAGAAGGAAATGTCCTGATAATATGAAAATCATTTTGAGACAAATATATTTTCCTATACGAAAAAGTTAAAAAAGACTGAACTACAAAATTCAATCATAGTTTTTTGGCTTGAATATCACGTTATCAGCCTAGTATATAACTATATGCTTAGTCTCAATTCATTTCAAACGACGTCTACGAGCACGTGAGAGGGTAGTCTTCTCGTATAAAAGCGTACCGGCTTCAATTGTTTTTCCTATACTAACCAGAGGATAAATACATTGCTTAACAGTAATGTTTTTTTTTAAAAAAATCCTTTAAAATAGTCTAACAGTAAATCATGAGTTGAATCATTTTAAAAGATATTAACGAAAGCCTTTCTCGTTTTTAATATCACTTACTTGCTCGTTTTCTTAGTCTGAATTGTCACACGCCGTGGGTTAGGGGTATGTGGAGACGAATGACATATCAGACTATCATTTTCTTGGAGAATCTTGATTGAAACAAGTCTTAAAATGCCAGCAGAATACTCATCCTAAGTTTTTTTGTTTTGTTTGTTTGTTTGTTTTTGTTTTTGCCGTTTTGATGCTCCCAGTTCCTTGATCGTAATAGTCGGTAGCCTCGTAGCCTGCGTAACAGGCGCTTGGAAGAAATGCATGGGTGCAAGTGCATGCTAGTAGCCTCGGTTCAGGCCACGTAGTGAAAGGGCAAGGATTCCTCGCACGTTTCTCGCGTTCGTGTTCACTTTAACTCAAAATATGCAACAAGGTTTTTAAAGTATTTTTTACTTTGTTCAATTCATATTTGTTAATTCGTTAAGCTGAATTTGTTTTGTAGATTGGTCATGTAGAGGAGGTGAAGGTATTTCCATTCCACTTCAGGAAAGTCAAAACAATTAGCCTAAAGCCGCCGATATTTGGTGAGTTGTGCAATGAAGTGCATGGGAAGTAACATTTCAGCATCCTCTCGTTTTGGTACTTATACAAGGATAGTTTTAGCACAGAACTGATTTCTATCTCCATATTCTGAGTTCTGCAAGCCGTAGCTTGGGCGGAGAAAGAAACTAGATCAGCTTTCTAAAAGATAAACAAACAGACCGCGACAAAGTTGACGGTAGATAGAAAACTATCTTAAATTTTCTACTGTTATCTCTCGTGTGATCTATATAGAGCGGAGACAACAGGATTCACTGAAACAAGTAAAATTCTAATTTTCTCCTTTAAAGAGATTCCCGAATTTCTTACTGATGTGGAATGTGACCACCTGGTGAGCTATGCCAGACGACTTGGTTTAGAGAAGAGCCCTTTAGCAAAATCTGAGAAAACTATTGATGATGAAACGTCAGAAAGGACTTTTAAAATTTGGGATAATAACCATGATGGATTTATTGAGCCTGTTGAGGTACGTAAGATTTGTAAGTTTCGACCCTAAACCTTCAGCAAAAACGTTTTTTGCACATCCAAGCGTTCTAACATCTGTTATTTATTGGCCACTTTGAGGTTGCGCTGGAGACTGAGTCGAGATGGTTGTCAAAGTGCATTGTGGGACTGTTTTGGGGGACGAATTTGCCGCCATGTTGAAAATATGTCCCCCAAATAAGTCCCATAATGCACTTTGACAACCATCTCTAGCCGTCTCCCGCGCAACGAATACATCGCTGAATCCGCGAGCAACAAGATGAAGCGAATCCTGTGTTCTGATTGGCTACTCGAGCGGGCAAGATGGACCCATCTTGACCGCGCGCTCGGGATTTCCCGCGTTGGTCCCGCAAGGAAAAGTAGTTTGAGCATATAATAATATCCTTTAGTTTATTGACCAAGCTTGTTCGTGGCCTCCTTCAATACCTTCATTATCCAGCCATCTTGACCGAACAAATCGTTATACGTCTCTGGGAAACTGGCGACCTACCCCTCCCCTAAGCCAACATTTTGCCCTAAGTGAGAGGTAAGTTTTAATGTTGGCTTAGGGTAGGGGTAGGTAGGTAATTCTCAGTCTTTCATAGTATACTAAAAACTAACAGGTGAGGGTTTTATTAAAATTAAAACAAGAGACAATATCCACTCGCACCGGTTCTGAGACTAAACGCGAACTGCGAGTTTATAAAAACACATTCAAGATCTTTTCCATAGATGTATTCATCTTTTGACAATCCTTACGTTTGTTTCCTTATTTCCGTGTTCTATCGAACTTTAAGACACTCGCATTAATTTTAATTGTTCTTCGTGAATTATATAGGAGTTTTGAGAAGTTTTTATATTGGAGTTCGGTATCACTGTGATCTATAAGAGTGAAAAAAGAGTGAAATTACCCTAGCATAGAGAGTTCAGGATTTAAGACTCCATTTGCAGTTAAAACGTCATTTAAAAGGGATGTTTGGAAATCCTATTGCAATCGTTTTTGGTATTTTTTTAGATCATGCATGTTCGCGGAAAGGAAGACCTCTATTTTACTGAAGAAGATCTCCTTGACATGTGAGTAAGAATGACTTCTTGGAACACAGGCAGCCCAAGTGCACAGAAAGAAACGAGTATTATCAGAGATAAAACTCGTTACTTAATTGCCTAACTCAGTCATTAGCACAAGTATTGCGTCACCTGTGTCACGCCACACCCTTGGGGTGTCTGTGGCCAAGACGGCAAAGATGACTGAGCGCAAACCATTTCTCAAAAGATCATGCATTCGATCGTTGTCGGGCTCACGCTTTTATTTTGTTACTAGAATTATATCTGCAAGAAACTCGTAAGGTATACAAACCATCTCTGACAGGTCAAAGTTACAAGTAAAGTCCCTTCCTGTGAATCTTAAGGGCCGGGGACGTCTGGTTAAAAGAATTGTTTTTCGTATATTTCCGCCCTTTTTCTTAAACACCTAGCCTAGTTTTCATTTAATTAAAAAAAGGCTCAATTGGTTTGCAGTCCTTGGTTCAATAATTTTAGGAGAATTTTTGGATAATTTTCTGAATGTTTTCAATGCATAAAAATTAGAGGGGGAATTTAACAATCTTTAGTAAATCGGAAAAAATTGGATTTGAGGGTTGTTAAAAATTAAAATATGAAGTGAATAATTAGTAGACAAATACTGATTTATGTGTAACCTTTTGTTTCCTAATTTATTTCCTTCCCAAATCAAGATAATTTCCTCCAAAAGACACCCAGACTTTCTCCCCCCTTAAACAAATGAAGGATAGTTTTTCAATTAACAGTTTATGATACATATGTTAACTCGTAGGTTTAAAGAACTTGACATGGATAAGGACGATAATGGTAAGTAGTGAAAACAGCAATGTTGTTATGATCACAAACACAGCCTTTACTTCTTGCTTCTTCAAATAAGTAGTTTACAATAATGAAACATCCTTATTTAAGTTACGAAGAAAATATCTTATCTTAGCTCCTGATTATTTTAAATGCTAGGAAAAATTGATTTCGAAGAATTCAGCAAAGTAACGGTTCCAGTTATAAAAGAATACTTCGACAAAGTACGAAGAACAAAGCCTCGACTGCGCAGTCGCAACAGTAGACAGGTCTGGATGTTCCACAACGATCCTAAGTACCCAATTCTCTCGGATTTTCATGGCAGGTAGGAGAATGGTACCAATAAGCAAGCCAATCAAAGTTTTGTTGGCAAAGGAAAAATTTAGCAGCAGCGATGATTACCACAGTGAAAAATTGCCAGGCTTTCCAGTCCTCTATGTTGGCTTTTTCTAATGCACGTCGAAGATGAAGAGAAAATTTGATTTAGGTGATATTATAACCTTAATTACTGGCCTGTTGATTAATTTATCTTACTTATAATTCTTTTAGGTTGTCACGGTTGACTTTTCTCCCTGAAGAGTTCATAAACAACACAGAACCACTTCAGGTACGTCAGAATGTTTCAATTCACTTGACAACTAGGTCAATCCCTTTCCTCTTTTAAGAAAATACTGAGGATTAAATTATTGAGTAAATATGAAAACAGTTCATAAAATCTTTCCATCTTCGACTTTTCGCCATCTTTTCTTCAATTGATTTTAAACAGCTCTAGCCCGTAGCTCGGGCTTGGAATAAGCTTTCAACATGATTTTGCCTAAGAGCTTGAGTCAGTTCTATTTCTTTTACCATAATAAGCGGTTTTTTCCTTTCAACTTATGACTGCTTCTACGCCAGGTTGTTAAGTATGATGTACACGGACATTACCACTGTCATCACGACTCAGACGAAGTGGATCCCAGTCTTCCGTGTTGCACTTTCTCAACAGAGGAAAACTGCCGACTTTGCAGGTCAGTGGATTTGTTTGCCATCTTATTAGATGGTGTGGATTCACTTAGTGAAGTTCAAAATGAATTTTAAAAAATCTCCACTCTAAACTTCACATAATTTCAGTGTTTTGAGCCTTTCTTGTAAATTATAACGATACCTAGTCTCAATTTCGTTTATTTTTCCTTTCTGGTGACGACAGTTATCTCACTCTTGTCATCATCATCATCATCATTCTAATTGCATTGCATCCCCTTAATTTATCCGACAGATTTGCAACAGTTTTAATTTATCTGAACGAACCAAAACAAGGAGGAGAAACAGCTTTTCCTTTAGCAGGAAATGAAACCTTTTCCATGGAGGTGGGTTTGAAATGGTATCACTTTCGATGCGCATGTGACGTAACGAGAATGCAGAGGGTTCAATCAACCACAAGCCTCTGTCACAGCCTTTCCTTTCACCTATTAAGTAGTAACGATTAGACCTTTCCCGTGCTTTGCATTGATTGTTATTATTTAAAACAACCTACGATAGTTGTAGATGATCATAAAATCAAGTCTTTAAAGATGTTTCTGATCCTGCAGTGTTTGAAATGGTATCCTGCCTTTCAATAATGTCTAACTTTGGATAGGCTCTTCAATTCGACATTTCTTCCTCTTCCTACAAGGGATGTTTTATATATCCTAAAATTGTAAGAAGAGTTAGCATTTTGATTATACAATAGAGAGGAGAAGTCGTCACGTCACGTTGCCATTGTAGCAAAATTTCTGGATGACAACAAACCGAAAACGTCACTTAAAAAGTGAATTCGCACTGTTTCCAACCGCATCGATCTTATTCCGTTTCATTTTATTTGTCAAAAGTTGGCGAAATTTTCTGGGATTTGAATCCCAAAGGACCGTATCTAATTTTAGAAAAAGAAAGTTTTTGTGCTGCGTTCACCTACTCCATAGAGCGGGCGGGTGAAATTAGGAAGTTTCATGTCGCAGTCTTGCAAAGACGGCTAAGAAGTGTACAAAAAAGGCGTGCTGCACGTACAAGGTTGTTGTTTTGCTTATCTAAACCTCTTGCTTTTTTGTTCTTCTTGTGGGTTTTGTTGCTGTCACCCTCGTCATTGCTTGAGTTCCCTATTGTTGTGATCCAGAAAGTTTGCTACCATGGTAACGTGATGTCACAGTTCTCCCTGTTGCTGCTCATTTTAGGCGTGGACGAGAGGAGAAAATTGGAAATGCAACCTCGCTAAGAACTGTCATCAAAGCAACTTGATCGTCAAACCCGAAAAAGGAAAAGCCATCATGTGGTATAATCATCTACTTGACGAAAAAACGGGTAAATATGTGTCACGTTGTACGGCATAACGAACAATACCACAGGATAAAAAAAAACAATCAATAATACTCTTTAAGTATTCTGCAACCGGAATGTTTTTAGTCGCTATTCTTTCTTTCCCCACATTTAAGGGATTCCGGTGTCCGGGAAATTTTTGCTTGTGGAATCCTGAATCCTGGAAATTATTGTTCGTGGAATCCTGAATCCGCCTGGAAAATTTTACTTGCGGAATCCAGAATCCTTGACTTTGGAATCCGTGATACACCTCGAGGAATCCGGATACCCTAACGATTGGAATCCAGAATCCAGAGATCGACAGTTTTGAATACAGAATCCAAGACTGTCTTGGATTCACTCACACATGGGGCGATTTTTTTGGCACTATTTAAAGTCAATTATCTCACTTACGTTTTAATTACAAAAGCCGTAATTTGAGCAAAAAATCAAAACAAAAGCTTGATTCTAGCAGCTGAAGTGAATATTTATGGTACGTACAGCTTCAATTTTCGTTGAAAGAGAATACTGTTTACTGCCGCTTGAAATTAAAGCCCTTAGCTTACACTGAGTTTTAGGAGGCCTTATACACGAAAAAGTGCTTGGGAAAAGCTATGGCAGTGCTCATCAAACTACGTTTTTCACTTCCTGCTTTAATTTTCATTTCAGCTTCAAAACGGCAAATTCAATGGAATTCATATCAATACATTTGGAGAGGGGTTTATATTCTGGGGGCTTATAACCGGATGTCTATTTTTGTTCACAGGTAGATGGGGCTATAACTCGGGGAGGCTTATAAGTGGGGGGCTTATACTGGGGAGGCTTAAAAATTGGGGGCTATAACTGGGGAGGCTTATAAGTGGGGGCTATAACTGGGGGGGGAGGCTTATAATTGGGGGCTATAATTGGGGGCTTCAGGTGGGGGGGCTATAACTAAAAACTGGGGGCTATAACTGGGGGGCTTAGAAGTGGGGGCTATAACTGGTGGGGCTTATAATTGAGGGGCTTATAAGGGGAGGCTTATAATTGGGGGCTATAACTGGGGGAGGCTTATAAGTGGGGGGCTATAACTGGGGGAGGCTTTTAAGGGGGGCTATAACTGGGGGGCTTCTGGGGGGGGAGGTTTATAGGTGGGGGGCTATAACTGGAGGGGCTTAGAAGTGGTGGAGCTTATGAGTGTCCGTTTAAGGTACCTTGGATTTAATTTCTTTAAAAGGTTGGCTGGGCGAGGTGGACCAAATCGCCCAACATGGTGGATGTGATGTGCTTGAAGGAACAAAATGGGTTGCGAATCTTTGGTTAACGTTAGTGGGTGAACCTGGTACTGGTGATGCATTCAAGGGATGGATAGACTACGGCAAAGATGAAACAAAATTTCAACCAGGAACAGACTGGGCAGGGAAGCCTATAAAGACAGGCGTCCAGAGAGAGAATGCACAGGAAAGCAAAGAGAAGAAGAAAGTAAAAAGGGGAAAAGTGAAATGGAGGAAGACAAAGAAATGAATAAGAAGAAAAAAATTGAGGAAGCTAAATTAGAAAGTGGTGATGGATCATATGATGTTAAACTGGAGCTGTAAACGCAGACATAGAAAAGATTTGGAAGTTTTGAGGCTAATTTTAAAAGTTATGCACTTTTAGTATTTGTTGTTAGGGTGTCAGTGTAAATGCTTTTTATAAGAAATAAAAGTCTTTGATTCTTTGGCGAGTTACTTTTGGTTTTAGTCACACATATAAGCTGCAGTACCCAACTACGAGTATGCGAGACAAGTACTGAAATTTTTTGTGAGGGAACTGTCTCCACTGCAGGGGCTCTGACTCGTATTTCAAATTGTAGTACACAGTTTGAAAAAGTAGCGAGGGCGCTTAGCTGTCGCATCTACCCCCTTAGGTTTGCTATTTTCCTCTCCCCAGACTCCTAACGGCAGGAAGAGAAAGTTGGGGAGGAGAGTGGTGAACATATGGACAAAAAATGAAAAAAAGGGTAGAAAAATAAGACAAAATAAGAAAAATTTGGGCTGTCCCTCTCGAATTGTTTTGAACAAATTCTGTGAAAGAATATGTTTGTCATGGACAGCCGAATTAAAGGGAAAAGGAGTCAAGCAGCCGTACCTGTCTTAGCACGATTCTCAATACATGATGAATGTAATTTATTAGCTGACATATTTCATCTTATGGTATGTACGTATTTAATATCTAAAACTATCAGTACGATACCGTGTATGAGCTCAAGATGTCGCAAAAAGTCAACACTTTGCAATATCTGGAACAAAGCATCTTGCGCCTAAAAGGTTTGTTTATCTTATTAAAAATCGTCATTATCTCCTTCGTCATCATCAAATCCTTTGCAATACGACTCTATTCGTGGAATATAAGGCCGTAAAGACCCCGTGTTTGGCCGAGCAGACAAAATATACAGCGCGTTGTTCTTGACAAAGTCTTTCCAAGCTACTGTGGTAGACCGCTGAAAAACTGATATCTCCTCGGGCTCATCATCTCTCATCCATTCCGCTCCAAGCCAGTCGCAGAGCGGTACATCTTCATATCTGAGGTTTATAAGCGAAAGATACCATTTTTTGAATGCCATCTTAGCGGAATTTCTGCTTATTGTTCCAAATCGATCTTGATCATACGCTTGGAAGAAAGTTCTAAGTTTGTAAAGTTTCGTTAGATGTGGGACAAGATTTCTCTGAAAAGACACAAAAACATAATCAAGGAGCAGTCAACATTGCCCCTAATATTATTCGAGATCTGTTAGCATGTCGAAAGGACATAAGTAGCAGTATTTTTGTGTAAAGATAGATAACACTTCCCGAACAAGACGAATAAACTTGTTCACCATTAAGGAACCGTAAGAAGAATACAAAACCATAGGTCTATGTTTACAATACACTGAAATATTTAGACAATATTTAAAAGACGTGTTTAATTTTCGGCTTTGCCGGATTGTTAGATTTACCTCAGAGTATATAAAGAAAGCCGATTGCGAAAGCCAAGATATATGTAAAACAAAGAGGTTAAATAATTCTTTTTTTAGCTAGTTACCTTTTTCCTCGCAGTCAATTTTCTAACACACATGGGTATTTGGTATTGCCACCAATCGATCTGACCCGAATTGCTTCTGTCCATATCGGCAAATATTCGCTCTTCAATTCGAATTCGAAATTCGGGCATTTCTAATCCGACTAACTTCTGGTAACAATCTTTCTGGTAATCTAGATACTCTTCTTTGTTTATAAATGAATCTGAAAACGTATGGAAAGGAAAAAAGAGAAGAAAAAAGAAACAATTTTACTTTGTACAAAAGTTACACAAAACGTCATGGTCAGTAATAGTTTTATGCTAATCTATAGAGTGAAACAGTTCAGTGTAGCTTAACGGAATATGTATCATGGGAGTTACAATAGCATTCATGTACTTAAAGAAGTTTGGCCCATTTTTTTTTTTTTTAGATTGCTCTAAGCAGTTAGATCTCAAAGCTATGGTGCAAGGAATATCAATTATGTTATTGAGTAGTGAAGGAGCTGCTCGGAAGGTTTCTCCTGATTGGTCGCAGGAAAGAACGACATGTCATTCTTTCAATTGTTTTAGTATTGTTTTGAGATCAGGGAAACGCACCGTTGGTGACTTCTCTTCCGAGCAGTTGCTCATCAAGAAAATATTTTTTCAACAAACCCTGATTTGTGTCAATTCGATCAAATGTTTCCATAATGTCAATCTTTTCCGTATCGGATAACAGGTCAAATAAGTTTTCCTGCAAAACAACAACAACAACAACAACAAAAAAGCTCTTTTAAAAAAAATTAACAGTTAGTGAATTTTCCTCTTTGATCCGAGTCCTTTAGCCTCCTTGATTGCTTGCTAAAGAAAATTTGCAAAGAAGGCAAGTAATGCTCCTTTTAATTTCTATTGCTTTCAGTCCCAAGGTAAGGTAAATGGTGAAGGCGTACACGAGCCAATGGCCTAAACAGCCGGAGCTTACCTCGGTTTGCTTAAACATGCCTAGAAGTATTGCTTTTCCCCCCCGGACGGGATGCTAGTCCATCGCAAGGTAATCCCCCACCCCCTCCCCCCAAGCAGTGTGTCGCCGGCACCAATTTAGACACCTGGGTGAAGAGAGACAAAATGGAATAAAGCCTTGTCTTAGAAAAAAACGCAACGGGCAAGGCTTGAACCCCGGACCCCCAGATCAGGAGTTCGAGGTTTTAACCGCTCGACCACAAAGCCTCCATTTCAATCCCAAAACCAGCACTTTTTTCATTTAATTGGATAACTAACGACTAACGCATGCCTCCCCCACCCCTGGTACCATTGGGAACCCCAGAAGAGCATGCTCGCAGGCTAACTTACACAAATGAAGCAGCTCCATCCAATTTCACCTGATTCAAGTTTGACTGTATCACTTGCGAGGCCATCTGAAAGGTAACCACGGCTTTCCAAACATTCTCTGTGATATATTCGTGGGCATATTCGGCACAACATTAAAGGACTACAGTTCGTAGAGGAGGAGCGACAAATATGACAACGTGTCTCCCACTGTGGCTAAAAGAATAGCAAATATCATGTTGGATATTACAGTTCTGGAAGGAGCGCTGGATGACAGACTGACTTACTGACTGAATGAATGGATGAATAAATGAATGAAGGATTGACTGTCTGACAACTGACTGACTGACAGACTGAGTGTCTCAAGATTGACACACTGGATGTTTTACTGACTGATTCACTGATGGCTGAATTAATGATTGGCTGACCATGAGAAACTATGAAGATTTGTTGTAGAATGAATGAGCGAATGGAAAAATCGCATACAATAGTTAGTGAGAACTGTTGTGAGAATAAGATTCACATAAGCTGTTTAGCTGACTAATCGACAGGTGGTGTGTGTTACAATATCTTACTGACGGTAAGAATACAAGAAATACCAGCGTGCAAGGGAAACTGACAAAAACTTGCCGAAAGCGAAGACCCACTATTAACTCTCTTACTTCGGGTCACTTACCCTATACTGTTCATCATAAGGAAGAAATTCTTCGGTAGCCTTCCGCGTTTCAGCCTCTTTTGAAGCTCTTCTGAGAAACCTGAAGACATCACCTAACTGTTTAAGCCGACCACTGTCTCTCCTGTGCTCATAGGCCAAGAAATCTCTTCGATCGCGATTGGCTGATTCACGAAGAGCCGTCCAAGCAACACTTGTGTCATTTATGGAGACGTGACCATGCTTGTTGTCACCTACATGGACGCTGCAGGAGAAATAATACTTTATTCACATTATACTGGATAGCTTTTGCGCATGCACGAAAACCATATCAGACAGGGCTACTGTTCATGCATAAAAACGGTGATATGAATTCGGTGCGATTTCTGTAACGGAGCGAAGCCGCGCCGCGCCGGTCTCTTTTAAAGTGGCAGGATTAGCTCACTCGATAAAGCGCTTGACTGCAAATTGGAAGGTCGCGGTTTCGATTCCCGGGGCCGGACCAATATTCAAGGTCTTAAAATAACTGAGAAATGACTGAAGGTACTTCATTTGCCCTGCAAACGGGTAGACCTTCGTGTGGCTCGGATGACCACGTAAAATGGCGGTCCTGTATCAACAAGGAGACGTAAAAATAGTGTCCCTAATTAGTACTTTCGTGCTAAATACATTGACACTCAAATAAAGTGCTTTTTTGTGTGGAGAGTCTCATACCGCATAGATGTTGTCACGAAAAGGTATCCTGTATAATGTGACAATAACCTAAGTCACAATGGGTGAGTAGGCACCTATAAAACTGATTCTGATTGTACCTCCTCTTGAAGGAACGGCGATTTACACAGGACCTCTACAGAGTGGTTGAAAGGAGTTTTACGTGATCATGGGGTTAAATGTTTTTAAGGTGAAAGGTAAAAATACGAAACCAAAATCCGCGAAATACAGTTCTTTTACTTTGGGAATTTCCGTGCACGTATGAACACGGAATTTTAATCGCAGTGATGCGTTATTTCTACTTTTTAATGTCCGTGAGACATGAGTAGTTCCCCCCCCCCCCCCCCCTACTGCTATTAAAGTATCATCTAAACCATTGGTATTTTCCATTGTTCTGTACGGGAGGGGTAGCCGATCGACTGTCTGCGCCACAGGCTGTGTTGGGGGGGATACCGTGCGCGCAAGTCCATGCATACAAAACAATGCGAAGCCCAAGTCAAAAGAAATAGTGAAAAACACGCCGTATCCGGCCTAATACAAACACAAACTTATAACACAAGTATAACACACTAAAGCCATTTCTACACTGCTTAGCTTACTTCTTCATAGAAAAGTACGTAGTATAGTATACCGTTGTTTGGTATAATAGTTACTAAAATTTTACAAAAAGTCAGTATGGAATAATCTGCATGATAAATCAAGCTAAGCGAACTGTTTTTTATTGTACATACCTGCGTACAAACTTAATAACTTCCTTGTCTGTATTGTCCAAAGTTTCTTCTTCCACCTCATAAGCTGTAGTACGTCTACCTAGATGTTGTCCAGTCCTGGTGTTTTTCCTTCCAAATTTCCATTCTATGATCTCTTCTATCTCTTTTGCCGCTGTCTTTTTCTTTACACTTTTCACTTTTGATTTAAAAGCTCCGGCTGCTCTGACTGTGACTAGAGTACGTTCTGCTTTGAAACGGTCTTCTGTTTTTCTGCCTCGTACAATATTTCCCATTTTAACCCGCTCATCTCGTTATTCGCATGGTTGACTTCTTAACTGATGCGCGCGCTTAATTATCAGGTGTGAAAAGTATCTCATTTACTGACGTGACAAAAGAACTCTTCATTGCTCAGCTTCAGTAGTAATTTACGTGTTTGAATTAGAAGAATTTTCAGTTCATTACCGGCGGTAAAAGAACCAAACCGACGATATTGGGATCTGATGAGTGTTAAGGTTTACATAAAAGAACCTCATCGACTGCGTTTATAAAAAATTAAGATTTTAATTTGAAAATGTTTAGTTCATCTCAAAAGTGTCCAATCTTTTTCAGTTTAGCTAGTAAGTATCACGAGATTTTAAGTACCAAGGTATATAAATGTAATATATCTAGATTTAGCCTATACTTCTAATTTACTCAAACAAAAAAATGAAATCGAGCCTTGATGCTAAACGGAGACAGCAAAGAGAACTGCAAAAAAATCAATAGTCTGTTTAGCAACAAAACAAAACAAACAAACAAACAACTTTTCAAGTGCGGCACAGACGGTCGCGTGGGCGAGCGGGTGGACGTACGGTCACGTGACTATCAAATGCATAGATAACCAATGTGTCTTACCCATGGTGCTCCGGGAGAGCTCCGCTATAAATTTATGATTGAATTTGAGAAAAATATATGTAATGTCATTAAACGACTTATATCATTACTGCTCGGGATAATGTAATGCGGTCATATTTTTGAATTGAGAGCTACTATAACTATACTCCTCTTTGACTATTTTCTTCAATTGAGAGCTGTGAAATAGTCCTTATTGACCGAAGGCCCTGGGACCAAGAGGAATCTTTCACTAGTTTCCAGTTTAACGCGACCTCAGACACAACATGGCGGACAAAAGAGCGGATTTGGCTGCGAAAAAAGCTGCAGAGCTGGATAGAGAACTTGACGAGTATATTGAATCTCTTAAAAAGAAAGCAGATGGAAAACTGCGGAAGCCTGAAGTCACGGAGGAAAATTGGCAAGAGGTACAATAAAGACAGCTTATGATCAATCACGTGGCTATGTTATCGATGTAAAGACGAATGTGCAATCTTTTATAAGATTTTATATTATAGCGCAGTTTACTTTAATCCTTGGTTCAAATTGAATTTTGTTTCTCTGTTTTAACTCATTATTATCCATTATCTTGTCCAAAAAACAAAGAAAAGTAAAATTCGAACCAAGAACGAAACTGACTCAAAACATATACAGACGAAATTCGAATCATCCTCAGGCATCCTTCTGAGGGACGTTAAAAAATAGTTTAGTGGGACTTTCAGTAAGTGTCTTTGATGGGAGTTTTCCATTGGAAAATGTTTGACTGTTTATGTAGCCTGCATTATAGGTGTGATCTAACCCAGGCTGTGGTTGTTCCAATGTTGGATTGTATACCTGCCAACTCTCACGCCTGCGGGTTGAAAACTTCGATCTCACCCCGGCTCACGCCGGCGGGCCAATTTCTCACGCCTGATTGAAAAATGTGAGTTGTTGCCGTCCTGCTTGACACAATTTCCAAAAATATGTTAACTCAGACCCATGCAAGGAACGAAAACTATGTGTAAAATGAATAAATGGCAATACCTTCCTCGCGATCTCTGATTTTTGAAGTGAAAAGCACCGGGAGTGAGCTCGCCTTTGGCAGACTTCGGCAGACTTCGGACGTCTTCGGAAGACTTCAGACTTCTTCGGGAATCTTCGGAAATGATCGTGTCGTCTTCAAAAATCCCAGCACTCCCAGGATAAAAATCTCACGCTTATATCTCAGAAAAAGTTGGTAGGTATAGGATTGCACCATCCACTGGATAAAACACTATCCAATGAATAAGTGTTATGGACACTACGGGTAGTTACATTATCCTCTAGATAACCACAATCACAATGTCAATCACAAAACCTTATTTTACCTGAAAATCAATAAATTACAATTACAGACTATCTGTAAATAGTGAAGCTAATCGAGGCAGGTAGTATGGAGATGTATCACTTACACTTATGATTACAATATTAAATTAAATTAAATTACAATATTAATACAAGATTAATATTAGCGTATATCCATCTTTTGAACAACTAGGGCCAGGATATCAGTGCTGATATCCTTGTTCTGGTCCCCCAATCAACTCAATGAATTACCGGAAGTGAGTCTCAAATTTCCCTTCAACCTGATTGGTAAATTGCTTTTTTAATGGGCCAGTCATGGTGCGTACTTAAATCCTGGTACACAGTTGGGGGCCTAGAAAAAAAGGTCTCGGTGCAGGCTTCAGATAGACTTAACCAGAGGTTTAGTTTTGTCTCTGGCAGAAGCTACTGTTTATCAAGCAAGACTTATCAAGAGAAGTGTAATACTGTACATTTAAGGTACTTGTGAGTTTGGCACTGAAATCTTTACATCGCAATGTTTTGTTTTTTTCTATGGTAGGAGTTCGAGAAAGTACCCGCTTTTATGACTAAAACTCCAACACAAGAAGAAATTGACAGTAATCCAGCCTTAGCAGCCCTTCAAGCTCTTAAATATGAGGATGATGATCCAGTTGGTATGTAAACCAAGCTCACTCATTGTGTTACTTTCTAGTACAGCTTATTAAGTTGTGGTAATTTATCTGATAAGTACAAATTATGTATGATGAAAAAGGCTTAAGAGGGAAATAATAATAATTCTAGAAGTTTTAAACTGATGTTTTTTTTTCTTTTTCAGCAAAAGCAGAGGCTTACAAAGAGGATGGTAATTATGCCTACAAGAATAAGAAATTCCATGATGCTATTGTAGCATACACTGAGGGGATAAAAGCTAAGTGTAACAATGTTGAGTTGAATGCCATACTTTACACTAACAGAGCCACAGCACAGTGGTGCTTGGGTAAGTTAAGCTATTGGTGATCCATAATCTTAATTCACCAAGTTTATTTTAAAATAATAGATACTCTATGAAAGTTCTTAGTGTTTGATAACCAGGTCCCAGATTTATGAAGGCAGTCTAAGCTAAGGTGTCTTGTAAGACAAGTATTGTTTCTTCACAATGGCCTATCATTATAGGGCAAGACATGAGGTACGTCTTTGCTTCGGACGGTTTTGTAAATCTGGGGCCTGAATATTCAGTGGATAACTAAGGTACCCTTACTCTCTTGTATGTTCCTTTTGCAGGAAATTATCGCAGTGCAATCAATGATGCAACAGTAGCCAGAAAGTTACAACCAACATACATGAAAGCAATTTTAAGGGGTGAGTAAAAAAAGCGCAAACCATTCTATTGAAATACTCTCTTTGTTTAGCAACCAGAGGTAAAAACAATTAACTGATAATACACGGTAATTCACTGTGAATCTGATGCTGAAACATCTCTCACTTCAACCAATAGTTTTTATTCAGAGCAAAGATTACATGATTAGGGTTCATTTGATAGATCCAGTTTGTGAGTAGGAAACATTAAGGTTGTGAGAATTTGACTGAGGTTGTGGTAGACAATCATTTCATAATTTTTGTTCGTGAGAAATAATGATTATTAGATGATAGTATTTTTATGCTATTCTGTAGGTGCAAGTGCTTGTGTAGAAGTTCAAAGATATGATGAAGCATTAAAGTGGTGTGATGATGGATTAGCTGTATCCTTGCATTCATAAACCTTATCTTACAAATTGTAAAATTTTTAAAACAGCAAATCCAGCTAAATACTCAGAGGAGAGGTGGGTCTCTGAAGCTAAATTGCTGTTGGTGATGTCCTTTGAGCACTACACTGTTGCACCCTCCCCCTCTGTAGACATAAATACAACCCCATCCCCCTTGGTTCAATACCTTTGTGGCTTCATACATTCCTTACAGCTCTTATTACTTTCATTGGCACAGTATTTTGGAAGCCCACTCACTCCTATAAGAAGGCATTGGGCCTAATAAGCCAAAGTATGTTAACCATGCCTTTAGCAAACTTCATCCCTTCCCCTCTCCCCACAGTTTCACTTGCCTACATCTATGCACACATGTATACATCCCTCAGGTAAGTTCTTCTGTAGCTTGCCTTGTGAGATGTACCTGATACTTTCATAAAGAGTGTGTTAACAGAAATCAGGTTATTTTAGGAATTACCTAAGTTTTTTTGCCATCACTAGATGTTTCTTTAACCGAAAACAGATTGAACCTGAAAACAAAAAACTTTTAGATTTAAGAAACAAATCAGTTGCTGAGCAAAAGAGGGTCCAAAGAGATCAACGAAAAGCAATGATAAAAGAAAAGAATGAGAAGTCTAAAGTAGAGGCATTGTTATCAGCTGTCAAGGTACAAATTAATGCATTGCCAATAGCAAGCTATATCAGTAGCAACCATTGCCCGGTTACAGCTTAGTCAGAGAAGTGTCGGTCTGCTGAGTGGGAGGCATTCTGGTTCAAACCCCAGCCTGACCAACACTCAGCGCCTTTAAATAACTAAGGAGAAAGTACTGCCTTTGTAATGACATCTATAACAAGCGGTTAGACTTTCCAGCCTTCTCGGATAAGCGCGATAAAACCGCAGGCATCGTCTCACAAACCTTGCGTTTATTTATTCTGTGGGACGTTAAAGAACCCACACACTGTTCGTAAAGGGAAGGGGACATTTTTTTTTTTACTTTTTTTTCACCTTGTTATCGTATTAACAACAACAACAACAGAAATTTATTCATTAACAAAAAGATAAAGGTTTACAATATTGGATGTCCCGGAAATAGCCATTAAGCTAATCTAGGCGTGACAAGACAAGAGCCTTTAAACACATAATACAAAAATAAAAGAAATGCAATTACTTGACTCATTTTACTATATAAAGCAGTTATAGTCTAAGTAACGAAACGTGATTTTAAGTTAGCATGCGCCTAAAAGCATGTCCGACTTCATGCCTCGCCTCCAGACTGCGATTCACATTACAGACATTAGGGAGAATCATTACTTAGCCATTACTTCATTACTTGAAACTGCACCATATACAGTCTGGAAAAGTTCCCCAACCAGAGTTTAATCGAGTAAATACGGTATGATTTTTTTTTCTGGTTTTCTTAGGATCGAGGAGTTCATCTGGAACACCAAGACGATCTTACCAGGTCAATATCTGACGGTGGTTTGGATGTTAAGGTTCATCTGGGTACGGACGGAGTTCTCCACTGGCCTGTGTTGTTTGTTTACCCGGAATTTAATCAAACAGACTTAATATCTTCATTTAACGAGAACGACAGGTAACTTGTCGTTAAGTCGTAAGAAAAGCCAAGCTTAATTTCGTTAGCTCAAAACAGAAAATTGCAATCTTACTGAACAGCTGTTGTTCATACCCTTAACAGTTTAAGTGAAAGAAGACTATGATTTTTTGTGTCTTCAATGACAAGAGAAGATAAGAGAAGTGATACATCAAAGACAGGGAGAACTGTTTTATACGATATCCAAACAAAGAGAGGTGATATATCAAACATGAGAAGGAGTGTTTCATGTGATATCCAAACATCGAGAAGTTATATATATCAATCACGAGGAGTGTTTTATCTGAAATCCAAACACCGAGAAGTAATATATCAAACGCGAGAAAAAGTGTTTTATCGGATATGCAAAGACCGAAAGGTCATAAATAAAACCCGAGAAAGTGTGTTTTATCTGATACCAAATACCAAGATGTCATATGTCAAACACGAGAAGGTGTTTTTCTCTTATATTCAAAAAACAAATCCCTAGACTGGAAAAGAGCGAGGCGTAAGGAGTATTTTAAACCTATTTCGTCAGTGGTGACAAGTTGTCAGGTGAAAGATTCTTTGCAGTGTACTATATCTCGTCTTAAATTAAGGCCAAAGTTGGAATAATATTTCTGTTAATTACGCTCACTCAGTCCAAACCTTAATCAAAGTGGTGATTTCAATTTCTTTGTTTTGTCTTGCTAGTCTGAGAAATTTCTTTTACTGTTGCATTTAGGATCTCAGACCACTTACATACTATGTTTGAAGTTGAATCGCCTCCATGGGATGTAGAAAAGAAATACAAGCCAGAAAGTCTGGAAGTTTATTTCGAAGACGCTTCTGGTGAAAAGCTGTGTTTGGTGAAGAATAACAAATGTCTTAAAGATGTTCTCTCGGACTCAAGGTATCTTGAATAAAGTAGTTTTTACTTTAAATAAAAATTATACATAGAGGTCTCTTGCATGTTCTCTTTACAATCCAACCTCTAATAACAACTGATTTGTTGACTGAGATGCTCCACAGTTACATGTGTTTCCTGTAATTTACAAATGCTACACGAAGGTGATTCGATAACTATACAGCGTTTTCAATCACGTGGCCAGCATCTATGCAGATTTTTTGGAGCAAAAGAAAGCGTTTACAGAGGAAAGAGTTCAACTCCCACAGGATTGGTTTGGAAGACCAACGTGGCCGCAATTTTATTGTAAAAACGCTCTGTATAGTTGTGCCTGTAAGGTGTAAAATAGGTCATATATATGTATCAATCGACAACTTTTCTTAATTCCTAAAGAAAAACCAAAAAGTACTATTTTGTGGCTAAAATGTTTTATTTCACATTTTTCTGTACCCAGGTTGCTGGTGAGGGAACGAACACCCTCATTCATCATCCTAACCAGGGACTCTCCTTTCAGAACAACGTATCTACAGCGCTATCAAGTTGAACGATGACATCTTTGGTTAACTACAGTCAAATATCCGCTACTTCTTCCCGTCCTATTTGCTCCACCGCACTTTCCATACATTTTAAAAGAAACAGCAACCAAATTGGAGTAAATAACTGTTTCAGGACGTACTAATAGCTCCTGCAACAGAACGTTCCAGTAACTTGCCTTTAAACAACATTACCAGTAACTGTACGATCTGTATCATCACCTATTCCCTGTAGCCGTTTTGCCCTTTGGCAGGACTGTAGCCCTCTACCTTAACCAAACAGTGTTATGATCTGCAGTGTCCAGTTGAAAGTGCAAACACACGCTGCCATCGTTGTCCGAACCCACGCGGCAATTTTGAAATACCTCTTTGTTCAACAAAAAGCTGCATATACCGCCTCCTTAGTATGATCCCAAGTTTATTGAGGTCCTTGTTTACTTCTTTACGAAGTAACCTGGAACTCCGTTCATGGCATAGAACCGGATTAAACGAGCTTCCTTTAGTGTTTGACTTCTATAAATGCCCTAAGGCTAAATTTGCCTAGTTTTGCGGGTGAACAAATTTCAGGGAAACGTTAGGGGTAGCAAGGGTTGCATGGTTGTTAGAGCAATCGCCGCACATCGATGTGGCCTGGGTCAAAGTCCTGGCTTCGACACCATATGCAGATTGAATTTGTTATGGGCTTTCTTCAATGCTTCAAGAGGTTTCTCCGGGTATTCCGGTCAGTTTCAGAAACCTTACAAAATACGAGGGATACCCTGTGATAGACTGGCATTCAGTATCCATGGGGTAGTTATACCCTAGTTGCTTTCTGAAACGGGAACCTAATACAATGGTAATTCTTTGATGGTTAGATCCCATCAAAGGGGGAGGGGTTGGTAATGCAGCTAAGTAGTTCGCGTCATAGGAACCGGAATAACCTCCGGCGATATGGGTGCCCAATGTCAAATCGACCAAACCGTTTTTGGCGAATGAAATTTAATTTAAATAATGCACCTTTTTTCTAACCAACTCCATCGTCAAATATTTTTTCGTACGTTTGTTAAAATTATGGGCTGGACCTTTTTCCTCAGACATAATGCCATAATGCCGCTGCCCGGTTAGCTCAATTAGTTAAGCGCCGGTCTGCCGAGCGGGAGGTCGCGACTGAGTTCAAACCCCGGCCGGACCAACACTCAGGGTCTTAAAATAACTAAGGAGAATAATGTGCTGTCTTTGCTGTGGGACGTTAGTCCTGTTTCATCCCCTGTCACCGTTTCAAGTCACCGTGGCGAATTCAATGAAGCAAAGCTCGAAGCAGTAAGTCTAACGTTTGCAAGTTGCAGACTTTGTCCGCTCCTACCTTTATGCAAATGAGAAACGAAGGAATTAATCGACAAAACTGACGAAAACTTTCATATTTTCTCACTATTCGCACTATTGCAAATGTATCGCGTCCTGAAAAATTTTGAATCAGCAACAGCTTCTTCTCACAATCGAACCTCCACTAACGGCTGCCTCATGACAACGGCCACTTTTATGGCGGATCAAGTCTATATATTGACTCTTTTAAACCTCTGATCTCTACAACGGTCACCCCTCTACAACGGTCACCTTTCTACAACGGCCACCTCTCTACAACGGCCACCTCTCTACAACGGCCACCTCTCTACAACGGCCACCTCTCTACAACGGCCACCTCTCTACAACGGTCACCTCTCTACAACGGTCACCTCTCTACAACGGTCACCTCTCTACAACGGTCACCTCTCTACAACGGCCACCTCTCTACAACGGTCACCTCTCTACAACGGTCACCTCTCTACAACGGTCACCTCTCTACAACGGTCACCTCTCTACAACGGTCACCTCTCTACAACGGCCACCTCTCTACGGTCACCTCTACAACGGCCCTCTCTACAACGGCCACCTCTCTACAACCACCTCTACAACGGTCACCTCTCTACAATGGTCACCTCTCTCTCTCACCTCTACAATGGTCACCTCTCTCTAACGGTCACCTCTCTACAATGGTCACCTCTCTACAACGGTCACCTCTCTACAATGGTCACCTCTCTACAACGGTCACCTCTCTACAATGGTCACCTCTCTACAACGGTCACCTCTCTACAATGGTCACCTCTCTACAACGGTCACCTCTCTACAACGGTCACCTCTCTACAATGGTCACCTCTCTACAACGGTCACCTCTCTACAACGGTCACCTCTCTACAATGGTCACCTCTCTACAACGGTCACCTCTCTACAACGGTCACCTCTCTACAACGGTCACCTCTCTACAACGGCCACCTCTCTACAACGGTCACCTCTCTACAACGGTCACCTCTCTACAACGGTCACCTCTCTACAACGGTCACCTCTCTACAACGGTCACCTCTCTACAACGGTCACCTCTCTACAACGGTCACCTCTCTACAACGGCCACCTCTCTACAACGGTCACCTCTCTACAACGGCCACCTCTCTACAATGGTCACCTCTCTACAACGGTCACCTCTCTACAACGGCCACCTCTCTACAACGGTCACCTCTCTACAACGGCCACCTCTCTACAACGGCCACCTCTCTACAACGGTCACCTCTCTACAACGGTCACCTCTCTAAAATGGCCACCTCTCTACAACAGCCACCTCTCTACAACGGTCACCTCTCTACAACGGTCATCTCTCTAAAATGGCCACCTCTCTACAATGGCCACCTCTCTACAACGGTCACCTCTCTACAATGGTCACCTCTCTACAACGGTCACCTCTCTACAATGGTCACCTCTCTACAACGGTCACCTCTCTACACCTCTCTCTACAATGGTCACCTCTCTACAACGGTCACGGCACCTCTCTACAACGGTCACCTCTCTACAACGGTCACCTCTCAACGGTCCACCTCTCTACAATGGTCACCTCTCTACAACGGTCACCTCTCTACAACGGTCACCTCTCTACAACGGTCACCTCTCTACAACAACCTCTCTACAACGGTCACCTCTCTACAACGGTCACCTCTCTACAACGGTCACCTCTCTACAACGGTCACCTCTCAACACCTCTCTACAACGGTCACCTCTCTCTACAACGGTCACCTCTCTACAACGGTCACCTCTCTACAACGGCCACCTCTCTACAACGGTCACCTCTCTACAATGGTCACCTCTCTACAACGGTCACCTCTCTACAACGGTCACCTCTCTACAACGGTCACCTCTCTAAAACGGTCACCTCTCTACAACGGTCACCTCTCTACAACGGTCCACCTCTCTACAACGGTCACCTCTCTACAACGGTCACCTCTCTACAACAACAACGGTCACCTCTACAACGGTCATCTCTCTACAACGGCCACCTCTCTACAATGGCCACCTCTCTCTACAACGGTCACCTCTCTACAACGGTCACCTCTCTCTACAACGGCCACCTCTCTACAACGGTCACCTCTCTACAACGGTCAAACGGTCACCTCTCTACAACGGTCACCTCTCTACAACGGCCACCTCTTTACAACGGTCACCTCTCTACAACGGTCACACAACGGTCACCTCTCTACAACGGCCACCTCTTTACAACGGTCACCTCTCTACAACGGTCACCTCTCTACAACGGTCACCTCTCTACAACGGTCACCTCTCTACAACGGCCACCTCTTTACAACGGTCACCTCTCTACAACGGCCACCTCTCTACAACGGCCACCTCTCTACAACGGTCACCTCTCTACAACGGTCACCTCTCTACAACGGTCACCTCTCTACAACGGTCACCTCTCTACAACGGCCACCTCTCTACAACGGTCACCTCTCTACAACGGTCACCTCTCTACAACGGTCACCTCTCTACAACGGTCACCTCTCTACAACGGTCACCTCTCTACAACGGTCACCTCTCTACAACGGTCACCTCTCTACAACGGTCACCTCTCTACAACGGTCACCTCTCTACAACGGTCACCTCTCTACAACGGCCACCTCTCTACAACGGTCACCTCTCTACAACGGCCACCTCTCTACAACGGTCACCTCTCTACAACGGTCACCTCTCTACAACGGCCACCTCTCTGCAATGGCCACCTCTCTACAACGGCCACCTCTCTACAACGGCCACCCCTCTACAACGGCCACCTCTCTACAACGGTCACCTCTCTACAACGGTCACCTCTCTACAACGGTCACCTCTCTACAACGGCCACCTCTCTACAACGGCCACTTTCTGCTGTCCCCAAGGTGGCCGTTGTAGAGAGGTTCAACTGTAATAGTGTTACCATGGCGACCACTAAAAAACAGATAACAACAGCAAATTTATTTTTGTCTCATATGCTCTATTTTTTGCTGGCTCTGCGATCGCAGTTTACCACAAAACTCTATTAGTTTCTTACGGTGGCCGGGTTTCTTACTATTTATCTTGGCTGTTGCGGTTACCTTTTGATCGAAATCCAGAATCTCGTACTAAAAATAATTGGCCACATTACCACAGCTACAACTAAGATATACAGATAACGGCAAGATAAATATAATTTTCCAAGAATAACTTATGTTTCTCTACCTTCCTTCTATTCAGAAAGCTTTTCAGTTTCATGCCCTGTTTTTTGGTCAAAACTCCTTCAACACGGCCCGAAAACGAACACATTTACTTCTTTACAAGTCCGACTAAGCAATGTTTTTCATATATTCATTTGTATTTTTTGTAGTCTACGCTTCAAATTATAGTATCAGATTTTTGTAAAAAATGTTGAAGGCTATTATAAAAGCATCTATAAGTTTTTTTTGTGATGAAAAACGAAGCGACTCGCCGGTGTGACGAACTCCGTGTGATATGTTACTATGACAACCATAGAAATGAGCAACACCCGGGAAAGAAATTTTTGGAACATACGTCACGACTTGACTTTTCGTTAGCTTATTTTTGTTATAGCTATTTGTTAAATCTCTTGGTGCTTATTACTTCAACTTTTTAGTGCCAAGTTTCACTGCATTCTTCTTAAGATATACTTCCCCAGAGAGAAGTAACAATATAAATCGGATGTATTACCATAACTACCACCTAAACAGATAATAACAAATACTTAATATGCGTCAGTCATGATAAGTCAGGGTCATCCACAATGCAATGGTCGTTTTCATTTACGTAATAAGCTTTGTTTCTATGACAACTACAAAACAAACAAGAAAGGATAATCGGATGTTGATCTCCATACAAGCGCCATGCTTTTTTCTGGATGATGGGCGTGGAATCACTTCTGTTGCTTCTCTTACGTTAAATGCAACAAACAAACAAACTCTGTGACGCGCTGCACGTATGTCCTTGCGTATAGAAACGAAAACTAAGGGTATAAATTCTTTCCACTGTACTGAGAAAGTAGTTTCCACTCTGGATTGTCTGAAGCAAATGGCATTCGTACCGTACGTTCCAAGCGTTCACTACATTCCAACTAGTTCAAATAGTTCCTGCAGGAATATTATTTCATCAACCAGTTCAACTTATGTATATTCCAGACCCTTGTCAGCTTCACATCTAGAAAATGTTACTTTGTGCGCTGAACAGCAGCGATTGAACGTCTCCGATGGCGTTAACCCAGGTTTGTTGTTAATCACCTTAAAACTTGGCCCAGTATGGCCGAATATCCAGGAAAGTTTCATAAAAATTATTCCCGCACCACTAAAAGCAGAAAATTGTAGCTCTGTTTCTATTCTTTATTAGTCTTCGTAATTTCTAATAGTATATTACTTAATTTAATTAGTAATCACACACGGAACGTTCATTTTTCATTCAGGGATAAAGCAAATGGGCAGATAAAAAAAATAGTAAAAAAGAGTAAATCAAACTGAAAAACCTCTTTCGTTGGTTGAGCATCGTCGTGATCAGGAAAAATTTCATCAGTGACGATCGATTTGGGTTCTGTGAATAAAATCTTGATTTCCAAAATGACAGCCGACTTTTAACCATCAGTATGTTTCTCGAAAATCAGCCGTTTTAGCTACACGATACAAATCTTTCGGGTGAGCCGGTACGCCTACCATGTGCTTTTTACACTGAAACTGGTTTCAAAGTCAGACAGGAGCGACTGTAATTTTTTTTTCTTTTTCACCGGTCGGGTTGAGCAGAATAAATACCAATTTTTTTGAACACAAACTACCGGCTCGAGAAAAATATAATAAGTACAATTTCTTGACATATAATTGATAATAGTAACAAACCCCTGAATATCATGTTCCTGAGAACCAAACGAGTATTTTCTACACAAAAGTCAAGTTCTGTTTTGCTTGATTTAACGATCTCTACCGTAAAGTTTTAATGAGCTAAGTTGATTCGTTTTTGCCTTCATTTCTGGAAACGTCTCACTGGAAACTTAATTCTGAAGTTTTAAGTTCAAATTCAACCGTTGAGTAACTCGACTGAAAAACTTTGGGCTTACAAGATCACCTTGTGCGGACTCCTTAACAATATGTTTATAGGTTAGGAGAGAAAAATTTCAGTCCAGGTAAAAAAATTAAGGTGTGATATCTGACTAACTTAGTCAGATATCACTCCTTAATTTTTTTATCTGAACTGAAAATTCGGAAAGGTTCGGAATCGCTTTAAAACAGTGATGGCCGGCTGAAAGGAGGTGATCCCATGCAAAAAATATCAGATATTAAGTAAAATAGACCTTGTTAATTCAAAACTGGTGATAAGCTGCTTATCACCACTTTTGACTGCACATGTTCTATTTTTCGTTTTTATTATTACAGAATGCCTAATCAACTCTCAATGTAAACCACATTTTATTCACAGGCGTGCAGCCTCAAGATCAACAAACAAAAGAAGGGCACCACAAAAGAACTCATTTTACTGTTTTGCAGCGACGTGAGTTGGAGAAGATATTTAGCGAGTCTCAGTACCTCACACCTCAGAAACGCGAGTCAATCTCCCAACAGCTGGGAATTACTGAGGAAGTAATTCAGGTAGATTAAGCTAATAGATTTAGCCAGGCCAAAATCTTTTAAGAAATTTAAAAAAAAAAAACTCGTCACAATGAGTTATACACGTGAGCCCATGATACAATCATGTGACACTGGTCAGCAGGTACCCTATTTTGACAGCTGTCTTTTAATCATAATGTTTATGTCCAATATCAAGTTAAACACAGGTGGTGTGTAAGGCCTTATTGGACTCCAAGCTAGTGGTGTGACATTTTATCTCCTCTAACATATGTATGGGCGGACGTACGGACGGGCGATTTTTTCACAACCAAAATTGTTGGATGCTTAGATAATCAAATTTTATTGCCCATGATACAATCAAACCCCGTTAATACAGACACCAAAGGAGCCATAGAAAGTTTCCTTATGAACGGGGGGTTCGTATTAAGCGGGTAATGTTATTAAAGTCAAAAATACACCTTTTATTCAGATCAAAATACTACAAAAATAAAACAGGACACTAGCATCGTCAAACTCAACATCTCTAAACTTCACCAACCCTTTATTCCGCGGACTATTACATAAAAACACTCAAAGACTCGAATCGCTCATTATACGTTACGTAATCAAAAACCGTTATCCGCGTGCGTAACTCCTGTGATGTCAAAAATAGTCATCCTATCTGGTGTACTCTAGCGCTGGGAACATCGACATTATGTGTCAACTGAAGATTTTTTTACCTTCAAAAGAGAAAGTTTATTACAGTACACAGTGGACAATAGTGTCTGCATTAGCGCCGAGGTTGACTTTATATGAGAATCTGTTCATTGGGCAAGAAAAAGGTGTCCGTTGTCCACATTAACAGGTGTCCGTATTAAGCGAAATGTAAGGGCCTTTCCCAGGGACAAAGAAACTTGTCTGTATAATAACGAGGTGTCCGATCCGTACTAAGCGGCCGTGTCAGTAAAGCAGGATTCGCCTGTAGTTCGTACATGTTATACGACACTTATCAGATTTGTCCTGAAAGTAATTTTTTTTCTTTACAGACCTGGTTTAAAAACAGACGAGTGAAATGGCGCAAAGAACAGCGAAGGCGGCAGTCTGTTGCGGTATCTACACCCCCCTCACTGTCAACCGGTCTTTATTTTCACTACTTTGGTCACGTGCCATATCCAAGCAGTAAATTGATGCTTAAGGATGCCCGGATGTTGTGTGGTTCAGCTGCGTCTTCTCAGGATTAAGGACAGAGTCCGAATACAATACCAGTATATCGATACTTTTTTGCTGCGTTTTTCGTCTCTTTTTACTAACAAATTCCAATTCTTGTTTACTGAAATATGTATATCCGAATGACAAACTTCACTTGCCTTGCTTTGTGTTCTTTTTTTTCAATTTATCTCAGCTGGCTTTACCTACTGACTTCTATGAATGCAACCGAAAAGAATACGGAAAAATCGGTTTGAAAGGGAGTGGAAAAGCTACAGGTCGCGAATCGAATGTATTTCTTGAAAGGTAGTCCAGACTTCTGGGACGGAATTTGGAATTTTGACTAGTTTCAGTTTTACTCTCCCTCTACTGTCCGTGGAAAGGCCTATGGAGTGAAACACACACATTGTAAAGAAAAATTCTGATCATTCGGAATTTTGAATGCAACTTTGACCAACGATACTTTTGTCTAAGTAATTGTAATTAATATTTCCATATATCCATAGTATTTTAATATTAACTAATTAAGCTAGTTCACGCTTTGCCGGATAGCTTTTGCGCCGGCCCGAAACTTGGGGCTTCGGATCTCACATAAGAACGGTGATTTTAGTGCGATTTCTATAACGGAGCGAAGCTGCGCTGTGCCGATCTCTTAAGTGGAGAGTCACATATCGGATAGCTCAGTTTAGTGGCGGCTCGAAAAACTATCCTGAATATTATGAACATAGCCGAAGAGAAAGACGCGTTTACAGGTGCCCGGTAACCTGATACAGTCTGTTTCTTTATGTAGGTTACACCGGTTGTCGTGTAAAGCAAATAATAACAATATTATAGTTACACTGTGTTAAATAAATTCTAGAGATTTTTGCTTTGTTTTCCATCTTGCACTGAGTTAACCTGCGATCGGGCGGTCCTTCTTCCCTTTTTGTTTAGGAGACGAAAAAAAAAAATTAAAATAACGCCTGATCGTGATGGCAGGTCAACACTGACTCTGTAGGGTGACCCATTAGGGACATACTTCAATGAGGAAGCTGAATATAAGCCCTCTTCGTGCATCATCCTTTTGGGCATTTTTCTAAGTCAGTCAAATCATCCCCCAGCATAGCGTCACCTCGTAGTCGGACGTCGGTTGAAATTCAGGCTACCCCCAGCGTCCCGTGTAGCAGTTCCTTTGCTTTCATCACAGGGATAACAAGAAATCACTTTTTAGGGGAAAAAAAAGGAGAAAAGTCACGTTTCTTTTAATTTTCCAAATGAGGAGCGCTTTTTGAGGATGTACCTTTTTGGCCAAAAAGAAAAAAAACGAAGGAGAAGAAGAGGCGGCGCGAGTTCTTTTTCCGGGAATCTGGTAACGAACATGCGTAATAGCTGCGCGGGAAACCCAAAATGGCGGTCGAGAGACTCGCCAAAAGATAATGTCAACAAATCAACGTTTTTTAGGTTTTCCATCGTCTGTTTATACTCGACAAACTCTGATAAGATGAGTCAGGGAAGGAGGTTTGTGCGGGCATTATCGAGAATTGGTTATCCTAAAGCTGATGAGTTCGAAGGTGACAGTCTTGAGTGGTTGTTCGACTGTGAATCACTTGTGCCCTTTCTGGAATGGTTTTGTGAAAATATACACGAAACGAATGTGCTGTCACAAGAGGATTTAAACAGGTATATATAAAACATTTCAGACTCAGGACAATTGTAATTGCTACGCCACTGAGAAAGTACTCTAGAGTTTTCAGTTTGTATACTTGTGTATTCAAAGGAGTTCATAGATCTCTCTAAGGAGGCCAGAGCAGGTCTTCCCAAATTTCCCCCAAAATACTGTATACCTACACCAATTGCAATCACTTTGACAAGCAAAGAAACAAAAACAAAAAAGCCAAAGGATAATAAGTAAGCCTTAAAAATCACATTTTGATTTCTTGACAACACTGAAAACACGGGCATTTCACTTTTTTAAAAAATTTTGGTCAAATTCCCCAGGATATGTAAGTTGGCAGGTTAGATGGTCAAATGCCCCACCGGCCGAGCGCTTCAAAAAGTATCAAATCTCCCACCCACCAGTGACTATTCAAAGAATTTTCCCACGCGTCAAACCGTTTATTGAAATGTAAATATCCTACTAAACACATCTGAAATATCTAAAGTCTCGGTAAGTTGTCTTATAAAGGTTTGTTCATTTAAATATAAAATTATTCATTCCAGAAAGTCCACACTTAATGGGCTTCTCCAAAGCCTCTCAAATGATCATCTCAAACAAGACAGAATAAAGGAGCAATGACCAGTGAATGCGGTGCACATGCTGAATGTGGAAAGAATTACAAAATCCTTCTGTGGCGGCCTTATTTTGGATCAAATTCCCCACTGTATGGAGCAAAACTCCTGTCAAATGCCCAGGGTATACCCTGGGGGAGGATAAGTGGTTTTGGAATTGACTGGTACATAATGAATTTGACATCAATTAACATGAGAAAAATTGGCCAATATAATTTAGTGTTAATTTCTTTGTCTGTGATAGCCTTCCTCGGAGATTCCATGTCAAATTACTTTTTTGTCATCACCTTTAGTAACTCCACCTTGTACTTTGCTTGTAGGTTTGATGAACTTTGTTCATCAGGAGCTTCTATTCTTGAAGTAAGTAACTTTACTTACTGAAGTTACTTTATTAATATAGAAATAATCTAGAGATCATTACACTGTAGATGAAAATAATTCCTTTAAAAACAAACAATAGTAATATTAACCTTTTAATATTATTCCTTTTATCTTCTTCAGCTCAAAATAAGTTTCTGTGTCAAATTTTTCAACCTGGGTTAATTCTCAATTACCTTTTTCTCCTACCCTAATTATGAGGCAAAGGAAACAGAGAATCACCCAAAGTTAAAAAATTTTAACCCAAATTTAATTCTGCCTAGTAACAGTCATATCCGCCTGCTTATTCTCCACACTGTTCTCCATACCTTTCCTATCGCAGGGTTGTATGTGTTTCCCAGGTTAGGAAACACATATCACTAGGGATATGTGTTTCCAAGGTAGGGGAACACATATCACTAGAGATATGTGTTTCCCAGGTGGGGGAACACATGTCACTAAGGATACGTGTTTCCCAGGTTGAGGAACACATATCACTAGGGATGTGTGTTTCCTACGTAGGGATCACATCTCAATAGGGATATGTGTTTCCCAGGTCGGGGAACACATATCACTAAGGATATGTGTTTCCCAGGTGCATGGGGGAACACATATCACTAGGGATATGTGTTTCCCAGGTCGGGGAACTCATATCACTAGGGATATGTGTTTCCCAGGTGGGGGAACACATATCACTAGGGATATGTGTTTTCCAGGTGGGGGAACACATATCACTAGGGATATGTGTTTCCCAGGTAGGGGAACACATATCACTAGGGATATGTGTTTCCCAGGTGGGGGAACAGATATCACTAGGAATATGTGTTTCCCAAGTGGGGGAACGCACATCACTAGGGATAGATGTTTCCCAGGTGGGGAACACATATCACTAGGGATATGTGTTTCCCAGGTAGGGGAACACATATCACTAGGGATATCTGTTTCCCAGGTAGGGGAAAACATATCACTAGGGATATGTTTTTCCCAGGTGGGGGAACATTTTTCATTTTACAGGTGTTTTAATCCTCCATTTTTTTCACTTCTTTCCAATAATTTATAGGCTGCAAAAACCTTAAAGTAGCCGGTGAGAGCGCCATTTGCTGGTGCATTTTGACAACCCTGCTATCGTACTAGGAAGGAGAATATTTTCAACAATCAATACCTTTTTCAGTCACTGATCATTTCCCTCTGTCATATAAACTATTGTGCTTGACTGAGCAGTGTGACAGTAAGGAGAAGTAAAATGCTGCTCACTCTTGAAGAAGAGTAAACTGCACATTCTTTTAATCTCTTGCCAGAATGTTATGGGGACACAATGTTTTAGTAATAATATTATTGTGTTGTTTAATAAAACATTTGTTTACTGCAGAATGAACAAATTGACAAGACTCTCTCTGTGTTGTTACAAGAAGACGAACAGTTTTCAAACGAAACTCTGAGGTATAGATTTGGGAAAAATCATTTGATTAGTAAAGTAAAAGTCAAATCCATAGGTTTAGCACCTCCCGTGGTGAACACCCAAAAAATTAATTTCCTGGCCAGGTTTGTCTACATTTATCTAGATGGTTATATGAACAGTACATGGTTTAACAACTTATAAACCTTTCATGATAACAAAAAACATCTTCTTTCTACTGCCAAAGTTTTACAAACAGGTTCGCGTTTAATGTTGATGTTGCATTACATGTAAAAACTATTCAATGTTATTATTTCTTAAGTTTTTTCCTTATGCTTGAAAGCCTTAAAAACATCTTTCTTCCACAGAAATGAGGTCAGCTCCCTGCAGACAGAGGTGCAGCTGATACAACAAAGACTCCAAAAAATTGTTTCACAGAGGAACAAATTGAGGTACATGTACAAAGAAAGTGATTGTCCTCGCAGTAATCAAACTACTATAATTATTGTTTTATACCTGATTAAACTCATCCCCAATAATTATGCCAATCTGGTGCTTCGGAAACTAGCAGTAGAGGCCTGAAGCAACTAGGTACAGCAGAAAGGTATCCATGGCAGCCCCACAGTAATTTGGGAAACAACCTCAGCAGCCCGCACAGGAGAGTGTGCCTCTGGTGTATATTTTTTGTCTTACCAGTCAGGAATGTTCCCTTACCTGCTGAGCTAAAATTCAGGGAAAACACCCTAGCAGAAAGCAGGACACGATCTACACCAGCTGGTCACTTGCAAATGTGGTTAAAACAAATGGCAGCCCTTACAATTATGGCAACATTTTAAAACCTTTAATTCGTTTGCTAAAAATGATCTAAGAGGGCAGATTTAAAAGAGAATTGCATTTTATTGTAGCAAAAATTCAGAGTTGTTATTATCTTTTCTTGTTAGCCTCCATCATGCTGGCATAACTCACAAGCTTTCAAAACTAAGTTCTGTGGTTCAGGAAAACAAACAAAAATACAAAGCCATTCTTGAAACCAGCCAAGCTGACAACACACAGGTACTGTGTTAAAAAATTTACATCTATTCAAGTATTGTGCATCACAAATTGAATTGAATTTCAAATCTTAGTAAATCTGAGTGTATTGTAATTTCTGCGTAAACTATTTAATATCATCCTCATTGTCATTATCATCACCATCATCTTCTGTGTTGTCAGTATCACCTTTTGACCATTATTATCAATTATAAAATCATTACATGATGTTCATGTTTTGTTTGTTTCAGATGAATTCTGCATTAGAGAAATTAGAGCAGTCTGTTTCTGAAATGACAGCATTATACTCTGGACAAGAAGGTACATGTAGTTGTAGGTAAAATCCTTCCTTAGTTTCAATATAGGTGTTCAAGCTTGTCGGATTCAGAATACCCTTTGTTTCCTCATCCTATTTATTCATAGGAGACAAAGGGAAATTCTGGATTATCCTTAGAATATACAGTGTATATACATGTAACCTACAACATATCATGCTAGTGCAATTTTTAAATTAAATCAATTTTACAGCCAAGGGTAGTTTTTTCTAATTCTTGCAATGTGTTAGGAAATGAAATGCAAATAATCCTTAATATTAATTTTTTCACTCCTCGAGCTATAGCAGACAACAGTTACTGTGCCTTCAGCCCAACAGGCCACGAGTACAGGGACAAACCTGATCAGGCACAGACTCACTTGTACAATATTTTTCTCTTTGCTTCAACTATTTCTTGGCCTGTTCACTTAAGGGAGTGAGGTGCTCACATACACCATTGTTCTCGTTATTCTTATGACTGCTTGAACATCTTTTGTCACAAGACAATGATAGTTATATTATTACACCTCTGTAGGTTCTCCTTACTCTGTGACATTTTTATCACAACTCTCCTATGACAATTACTATGAATCTGAGGAACGATTCACCGGAGAACTTACTGCTTACACAAGGAAACAGTTCTTTGAGGTATGACTTGATAGTCAGTGTTAAAAGCATGACTACATGTATCAACTTTTTTCAATGAGACCATGGCGGATACTAGTAACAAACAAGTACAAAATTCTGAGGGAACCCTCCATTAGAATAATGGAGCGCTTCTAAGTGGAATTAGGGATTCTAAAACTGGTTTAATGTTAGTTATAAACACTTGAAGCTGAAACAAAGGGTTTTTACTGTTGCTATGCATGCAGGCCCAACACAATGGAATTTAAAGGACTTTCTTATTTCCGGCATCATGGGCCAATTATGTATTCATGCAATGAGAATAATGATGATGCAGTGGAACCTCAATATAACGAAAGGCCAAGGGACTGGCAAACTTTGTTCACTATAACAAGGTTTTGTTATATCAAGGTTCTTTTTCATTATATTTTACTATTATTGGGATAAAGAAAATTTTTCGTTATGCAAAGGACTTCATTTAATATATAGATCGAGGTTTGTTATTATCGAGTTTACATAAATTGTACACCACAGTAGCCACTGGATCATTTGATCTTGAGAAATACATCAGCCAATGACATGCAACATAACTTTATACTTACATGTAGGGTATAGCAGAGATGGCTGGGAGAGAGGAAAAGTCAAGATATGAGTTACTGGAAATCAGTGATCCCTCAACACTTCTGGTTAGAGGTGAGAACAAAAATTACCATAAATAAATTACCCTTACATCATAAACTGATGTCCAATCAATCCAAATGGCCATGAAAATGGTTAAGGAAATAATCACCTCTCTACAAGAATGCACCACCTTTTTGAAGTGCTTGCATCAAGTATGGCACTGAAAACTGTTGCAGTTTTCTGATTATTAAAAGTGTTAACAGAGTTCATTTTTTTATTAATCAGGAGAAAACAATGAAGTCAACTTCAATGACTGTCAAGAGCTTGCAAGACTACAAACTGTGTAAGTGAATTCTGTGATTTTATATCATCTTTAAAAGTAAACAGCTAAATCAACAGTACACAATGCAACCTTTTTTCTATGAATCACTGACTCCGGCAGTGAAAGTGTTAAATGAGCGTGAGTTATTTATTTACTTATTTTTGTGTGTTTGTTCAACACTAGGAAAACACATCCTTTTTTGTTGGAATCCTGTAAAATTCCTGGGTGTCCTGTGTAACCAACTTAAAAAAACTTTCAGGGTTTTTTTCTTGTTTTATTATGTATTAATTCTACACTATCTTTAACAATATTCTTTTGAAAGGTGCAGATTTACATTATGTAGCTCTTGCTGGTTTACACTTCTTTACGTGAATGCCTTAATAAGCTATTATAACCTTGCAGTTATGCTTCAAGTGAAAGTAAAAGAATTCATAACATGGCTGCCGCAATGGGAGTAAGCACAGCGCTCAAAGCAGCAGAGGAAAGAATGAAAAGTTTATCATGGGAGACAAGCCCTCCAAGCACTGAGAAACTAAGGTGATAATGAAAATACATAAAGTGGAGTGTACATACAGTGTCAGTTAATGCGACAGGGATAATAATTGGGCAAAAAACACTGGTGAGAGACCTAATATACCTCCTATACAAATATTTTCGTCCCTTGTAAGACTTTAATTTCTGTGATATTATTTTTACAGTGATGGGGACAATGATGTAACTTGTTATGGCTGCACTCAAAGAAAATATTTTTTCAATAAAATATTATTCAAGTGCTTTTAGAAAGTTGCTTTTAATTGGTTTTAAGCTTCACATGTGACGACAAAAAATATCAATCTGCTGAGCACCCTAAAAGTGACTTTTTTTTTTTCATTGTTATTTTGATCAGTGCCAAACTGCTTGAAGTTCAAAAGGCTCTTTCTCAAGTCAAAATGGAGATAGGGGAACTTTCTGAGCAGGTGCTGCCTGGGCTGGTACAGGAGCTGGGAGAGCTACAAGCCACAAGTATCCTTAAAGGGGACTATGAACTAAAGATAGCGAGGCAGGATTACTTCACATCCAAGCAAGATCAGGTATCTGCGCAAAACACTCTGAAGAAATAGTTGCAGAGTAGCGGGGATGTAATTAGGGGGGGTGGGGGGAGCAGGGTAGTGTGGCTGGAAAGGGAAGAGGACAGGGGATCTAGGATAAATGAAGGAGGAAAAGTGTTGAATTATTACAAGCACAGAGAGGCTGTAGCTGATGATAAGAAAGAAGGAGTAGTGTTTGTGAGAAGCACGAAGGTTCCCCCTTTAGGCAAGAATGATAGTTTGTCTAAAAACCTTTTATTATTTTTTCTTTAGGTTATCACTCAACTTTTGCTTCAGCAATCCCGTCGTGAGAAACAGGAAGGTTCCCCTTTTTGGCAAGAATGATAGTTTGTCTTAAAGCCTTTTATTATTTTTTCTTTAGGTTATCACTCAACTTTTGCTTCAGCGATCCCGTCATGAGTTTCTTTCGATGGCTCTTGAAGTTGAAGGCCGTAGAAATCGCAACACTCACCGTTTATTCAGCACTTTAGAGAGCACACTTGAGGACTCAGTCAACGGACTTGAATCTCGCTATGTATCCTGCCATCATCACTCACTCATTACTTGACATTATCCCCTAACCCTGTATTAGCACACTGTTTAATGTTGTCTTACAGTCAAACCAGGTCAAGCGTTCCCGTCGCTAACAAACTAATGAATTCATTAATGGAAAAATGATTTCGTTTGTTGATTCAATAATCCATTCATAAAATGAACAATCCAATAGTCATATTTAGCCTCGATTCCATAATCGAATGTTGATTCGATTACTGTTTTTTGAAAAACAAGTTGACCTCAGAATTTTGTTTTTTCCTCTTTTTTTCTGAGAATCGAGTGCTGGCGAGTTCTGAAGTTCAAACCCAAACAAACTGTTACATGTACGCCAGTTTGCTGCCAATAATCAGTACAACAGACCTAGGCCTGACCTCTTAGAAAACACGACGGTCAAACTGAGGTCAGTGTATGTGCGGTGATTGGTGGATTTCGATCCTCGGCCTTTGTCAGTTTCATTGCGTTTGCGGTCTGTCTATTCTAGCTGTTATTTTGATTAAAGGCAATGAAAAACGCAATCGTAAACGGCAGGAAAAGGGAAGCAAATACGATTGAACACAACGGAAAGAATGAAGAACAGGTAGATTTTGTTCATAAACCAAATTAACATTTGATTATTGAATCGAGGTACAATTTGACCGTTGGATTATTCATTTTATGAATGGATTATTGAATCAACAAACGAAATCATTTTTCCATTAATGAATTCATTAGTTTGTTAGCGACGGGAACGCTTGACCTGGTTTGACTGTAAGTCATTGCAAATTTTGGTAGGTCATAATGTAAGCTTAAGCTACTATCCCTGCAGCCGCTATTTTGCCTTCACGCAACGCTCTTCCCCTATTCTTTTGGTGAGGAATGTTGTCTAACTACACAAAAAACGGCTCTGGCAAATTTTGCCTGAGGAAACGCCCGACATTTTGCGACACCACCACTGGTTTGGACGAAAATGACGTCTGTGGAACGGGCGCAGAAATTCCATACTGATGACGTGGCACTACTCCGACCTGGCTAGTGCTTTTGATTGGTTGTGCCGCAAGAGAAATTTGCTTCAACCAATCAGAAGCACTACCCAGAGCTGGGAAGTGACACGTCATTAGTATAAAATTTCTGCAGTCTTTCGTCAGACGTCATTTCACGAGGAAACCAGCCGTGGCATCGCGAAATGTCGTGTCTTTTCTCAGGCTCCGATAAATAGCGCATGGGATGAATCACCCTCTGCTCTAAGCGGTTTGCATAGTCAGTACATATACAGATTAATGAAGAAGCGCTAATGTTAGGTTAAATACAGTTAATTAACTTTGCTATAGCACTTGGGATCTTACTACAAGCAACTTTAAACGTATCAAGAAGGACTTTTTCTTAACTCCCATCTCAGACAGTGATGGATGAATATGCTGCTCAACCACCCCACCCCTCCAGGGGAACTATTGATAGCCGAGATCACTTCCTGGAAAGGCTCTTTCGTGTACTTGAAAGCTCGCCTAAGGGGGAGGTAGATGAGACAAAACAAATTTTCTTGGCTTTCAGTCAGTTAGTGGAATGGAGTCAGAAGCTAGCAGCTCAGCTCGAGTCCTTGACGCAGTCCCTGTCTTCCTCGGGCAGCAAACAGGAGGAGGCTTGGAAACAACTGTACGTTGATTTAAATTTGCTCCTTTTATTCTCTCTAGATTGCATGTAAATACATTTATCAGGTGCTGGCACGATGCGCAGCGTGTTCACGTGGCCACATGTTCAAATTCCATTTCAAGAACACAATGTTTACATGTTATTCTTTCCATATAACTTATTTTTCTACTGACTGTAGATTTTGAAATGCTTCCTGAATTGCTATATCCATTGTTTTTCTCTTGTTTTAGAGAGCATAACCTTCAGCAGTGTGCGAAGACAGTTTATGGGGAATCTACAACAACAAGAGGTCTACCACAACTAAGTCCCCAGGTTTGTTTACATTCTACGAAGACGAGAACGACTACAAGTACGAGATTTTCATTCAATACTAAATAAAGTTGAACCTCTCCACAACAATCACCTTAGGGAGGGACAGAAGAAAGTGATCATTGCAGAGAGGTGGCCATTGTAGAGAGGTTTAAACAAGAGTCGATGTATGGACTATCCGCCAAAAAAAGTGGTCGTTGCGGAGAGGTGACCGTTAGTGGAGATTCGACTGTAGTACCAGCGTCATTTTGGCGCGGAAACGTGATAGCCGTCGTCATTCTACTACGAGTTTAAGCGAGAATGTCGTAGTGGAGGCAACAAGTCATCAAACGTTAGAAGTTTTATCATTTTGCGATCGGAAGAGGGTTTAACCTCCTTCAATAAAAATTAACCGTGTTAACCTTTTCAGGTGTAAAGCTATCCGGGGTGAATGTTTTTTAACAATACGCGGAAAAAACTTTCAGTCAAATCTCGTACTCGTAGTTGTTCTCTTCGTCGAATCTAAAGGTCTCTATCACTGTCGCTCACCAATCCAAGATCCTTACCTAAACAGCGCAGTGCGCATGCGTCACCCAGTATGTACAGTACCAGTGGCTATTTTTAAGTGTTGTTGTGATGGGTGGCGGGGGAAGGTTGGAGTAGGGGGGTTGACTTTGGGGTTACTAGAAACCAGTCGAGCCGCTGCCTCCTATATTCATTGATAGATTTATTGTTTATTTATTTGTTTATCTATTGTATTATAGTGTATAGCGGATGGCCTGAGGCAGTTGGATGAACTTCTTGTAACACTGGAACAGTCCATAAAAGACATCATAAAAGACTGCGAGTCCAAGAAGAAGGTACACAAGTAATGCTACTGCAGAGTTTTGGTTTGTGGTAAGTGGTATTATTTTCTTCTTGTTGCCTTACACCAGTTTTATTTTATTTTATTCTCCAGGTGCTCCGATCGGATAGCTTAAAGCTCATGGAAAGGGAACTGTTTGTATATTTTTTCACGGATCCTCCTCGTCTTAAACGAGCCATTGCTGAGTTAGCAGGCAGGGTTGACGCCCATCTTGTATCATTAAAGTGAAGCCGGGGTACATAGGAATCTTGGTTAAACACGAAAACACTCAATCGCGGAGAGATGAAAGAATGCTAATGTGTTTCCGACCTTCTCTGACATCTGTCAGAGAGAGAAATATAAAGGAAGAAAACGAACTTTTTCGATGGCGCACCGAACTCGTCACCTTTTTTAAGGGGAGGAAAGAACCTCTCTCCTCCGCTGAGGTTCGATGGGGCGTTATTGGATTTCTGCTGCACGAAGTGAGTGCAGGCGCTAAAACCGAAAGATGCTTACAAAGCAAAAAACTCGTGCAGACTTTGATTATCAACTAGCAGGGGCACCCAACGACAATTTTCGGAAGAATATCTGTTCGGAAGACGATTTTAGATCTAGTATTTTTCGGAACATTTGTTGTAAAATTTCAAAACATCAAAAAAAATGGTATAATTGTCTTTTTAACTTGTTACCCTAAAAAGGTCACCTAGAATTTTCGGGAGCCTTTTTTCTGGCTGAAATTTTCGAAAAGACCCTTAATTTTCGATTAGACTTTCAACTGAAAAATTTTTAGAACTGTTTAAATACTAAAATACGTTTAACAGTGCTATGTTTAAGTGGTTTTGAACTATATTCTCGTTGGGTGCCCCTGAACTAGAACTGATGCAACGCTTGATCCTTTCTAATGATTTATTTCAGAAAATGTTTCTCATTTTTACACCACAAGCACGGAAAGTATAGGTAAAATTCTACTCGTCCTTTTTCATTGATTACCCAAAACAAAAAAAATGTCATTTACCAAAAATTTATTTCAGTGGGCTAACAACGATCAACTGATAAAATCACACGTTAGGCAGTAATAACGTGCTTATTTCAGTTGCAAAGTTCCTTGCGAAAATCTACGTATCTAGCTAAAGCAGGATAAAAGAACTAATGATTCAAACTTTACAATTCCTGACAACGTAACAACAATAGCTCATAGTCCATTTTTTAAATACAATTACCGAAAACTGGCCTACTGCGTTGTTTATATTTTACAATTCGCCTTACAGTTTTAAAGTGCGAGTACACGTGAAAGTTAGTTTTATTAATAAACACTTGATTCGACCGAGTTACCAGTCTTTAAGTGATTTGTTACATAGCTGGAAATTTTTAAGCTGGAAATTCATTAAACCTCGCTGTAACGGCGGTCAAAGGTCAACATTCGCAAGTAACAGTGCACTGTTACCCTCTGACGTCATAGATTTTGCAATGTTGCCCACTCAGAGATTTTGGCGAGAAACGGCTTCATTGTTAGATATCATGTGACCTCGAAGTAACCAATGAGAGCGCGCGCTGTTGGGAAAAAATCTCCAGCTATACAACGAGACAACGTATTAGGCAATCCCCTTAAAATGTTTCCTTTCCCTGGTCGACGTTACTGGCAAGTGGTCTTTCAAAAAACAAACTGTTAGAAACAACGCTACAGGATGTAAATTTTATTTAAATCTATAATCAATGTGAGGTTATAACCAAGCCTTTTTTCTCAGAAACCCAGGCCCAAACTTGGACTCATACTGACGTATCGGTGAAACCTTTTCGGCACGACCCAAACAATCCACTCATTAAATTCTGTGATAAAAAGGACGTTGGGAAAGGAAACATTTGTGGAGATAACCTTAGTAAATCTTTGTGACCGCCTCCCCAGAAAAGGTACTTATTAAAATAGTTAAGAATTTAGAATGGAATGGTTGCCGCATAGTTATCAAGCAAAATGGGAGTTCGTAGGAGAAAATCTCATTTTTCTTTGCATTGACGTCTGTTTACAACTTTACAAGGCAGTGTCGCCAAGATTTCGTATCGCTTAAAACTTCAACGGAAGTATTGGTATCAATATAATATAATCTCATTCAGGGGTGTTTGGGAAAAAATCACTCAAAACTATTGATTGCAGCTTGGTCACAGTTTACATGACCACAGTAAGTCTTTCTGTTGTCGTTCAAAGGCTGTGATGTATTTTGTACTCAAACAAGGAAAAATTCAACAACAAAAGTATAAACGATCAAGTCTGTCATTGTTCGTGGTACCGATGAATGTTTCGTCATGGCTCACTCTTGAAATGAAATTCATTGCCAGCAGATTTATCCGGCGATTTCAGTTGCTTCGAATCTCCTACAGCCAGATTCCTCTGTAAGTTCAAGGTCATCCAATATTTGGCCGCTGAGAGCCGAATGATACTATGTAGCTATAACTAACCAGTATATCAGATTAAACAGCAAAAACGCTAAAGGAAATAATACTCTACAGAAGTTGTTTAACGCTATTCCCAGGGTATCTTTGGTAATGTGACTCGGTAGGCCGCAAATCCTCTTGAGAAAACTTGGCTTCAAGATATTTTTTGACTTGAGACCCGACACGCTACGGACGATGGGATACACGGCCCCATGTGAATCAGCAACATAGTAAGATGCACGGCTGCGAGTTTCCGGTTCCTCGATCATCTGATGTGAAAAAAAAATTGAGATAACCTTCAGATAACTGCATTCTGCTCATGCGCAGTGTGATGGCTGTTTTTAGGGGGGCAATGGCAGCCTGTAATATACTTTCGACTGACTCCCGATAACTCGAACCTTCAAGGGAAACCGAAAACACCGAGTTATCGGGAAACCTCGAGTTATCGGGAGCTCGAAGAAAATAGCCGGGAATGATGAAAAAACAGTTTTTACTGCAGTGCACAGTGAAAATTCTAATCACATTTAATTGTAGAAATGTTGAGTGAACATTGAAAGATACTTCTAGATTATAAATCAGAAGGTAAAGTAACAAAACATTGTCTAAATGGAGCATGCGTTTTAGTTTTTCAGAAGTAAAGATGTTTCACGTTATATTTGTGACAAACAACATCAGCCTCTATTAGTAGACGATGTGCCTACAACACGTCAATGGGAAATTCAAAATTCAATGTTTCGGGCGCCGGTACACTGTTGTTTCCCGACTTTTTGAGGGCTCAAAACATGGTTCAAGTTACCGAGGGTAAAATTACAGTAAATGTATGACGGAAATCCATGGGAAATCGATTTTGCTTCGAGTTTGCGCAAAGTTCGAGTTAGCGAGGGTTTGAGTTATCGGGAGTCAACTGTAATTCTACAACACAAAACGAAACAAACATATTGCTAAAAAACTTACAGTAGCATGAGCAGATAATTGATTTGGTCGCCTTTGAAAAAAAATCGCTAAAAAAGTGTTTGTGTACTCGATTGTTTTCCTTATTTTCCCACCTTTTCGTTTAAGCCACTTGTGGCAAACCTAACCGCGCGCTGGGAGATTGGTTCCTGATGACGTCACTTCATGAATAAGCCAAAGCACAGTGCGTTTGTTGTGTGTTATGGCGTTTTCTCAAGATCAGTTAACCTCAACACTGCTGGCCTCAGTTGTTCAAAAGGTGGATAGCGATATCCATTGGAAAAATCACTATCCAGGGGATAACGCAATTGGTTTCCCTAATACTTGTCTACTTGATAATTTAACCGGTGGATAGCACTATCCAACTTTTCAACAACCGGAGCCTGAACTCTTTTATGCGAGACACGAGATAGGGGGTCCCCAATAGGTTTTTCGGGATACGGGATTTCCCTTATTTGAAGCTCAGGATTCGGGATTTTGAAGCAAAATCGGGCAATATTCGGGATTGAAAGTATACGCGCGAGTTAGAATGCCGGAAATAACCCTCGGGATTTCGGGATTGCACGAACTTTTAGGTCTGGATTAAGGGATCGAAGAACACTTTTGGGGACCCTCGAGATATGATGAACTTACCTGCATTCCATCTGTATGAGTATCACAGCTGACCGATCTTGGAGGCTTTTGGCGCTTGCTCACTTGTCGGTCAAATCGGAAGATCAGCAGGCACATTATCAGCGTCGTGAACACGAAAATGAACGAAGTAATGAGATACCAGTCGATGGCCTTCGGGTAGCTTACTCGTGGCATTGTACTGTTACTCGAGCCGAGCAAGAAGACAATCGTGAGCACGGTCGTGATTCCGAGGGCGATTCGGTCGCCGATGTTGTTACGATCCGTCCAGAACACGATCCAGCTCATTATGACCATGATTATGCAAGGTACATAGAAATTGATCAGATAATAACCGATTCTCCTGCTGAATGTGAACGTGACGATCATGTCTCGGTATTTACCTAAGTGAGTTAAAAATAAAAGGCGCATTTGCTTAATTTTTCTCTCCTTTCCCCGTTCAACTCCAGTAAAACACTACTGATCAACTCTCTACACCCGAAACAGAATTTTTTTCCAACCTTCTATGCACACTATCTGTAACAATGATATTGTTTAATTGGGTCTTTCTGAAAATTGGCAAGCAACACAGTTTTAATAGACTTGCCCTTACTCCAGACCGAGTGTTTGGGTCTTTTTCTGGCTCTCTGTGTACTCTACCGTCAGTGACTTCAAGTTTACCCAGTGGGGCGAGGTGTGCACGCTCCCCTTTCTTGGCTAAAATTTCGTTAAAACTGCCTTGAAGTGTGTTTTCAAGAGCCTTAATTTCTGGGCACAGATGTTCCCAAGAGTTTTTTTATGTCCAAACGTCGGTCCCCTCTCTCTGATTGTTCTGGATTCACCCTCCAGATTGACTACCAAAGATTAAAATCCATTTAGGGTCCAACAGTTAAAATCTTGTTATAATATACCAAAGGACCAAGGAGGTCAAGGTCAAAGTTTACAGTGCAGCAATGACAGTAGCTTACCCGCTACATATTCGATTTCTTCAGTTCTGTACTCCGTGTTGGTCAAATCAAACTCTGCAAGTTCCATATCGAGGATTTTAACGGGCTCGTGATCCTTCCAGCGGTATTCCACCATATCTAATGTATAGGCGACTTAAGAAGATAAAAAAAACTCTTAAACTCTGTTCACTCGAGAAAGATTTCGTTGTTGGGGTAAAACGAGTCGTGTAAATGGAATGTTCACAGCGCACATTCTCGCACATTCTCTCGCGGTTTCTATTGTTCGCATGGCCAAGGAAATAAATAACTTGGAGAAAAACGCCGAGGAGTTTGGAGACGAGGGTGAAAAACGAGAGGAAAGACCTCACATCCGGGGACTCTCTGCTTCCCGTCCCCCAAGCAAGAGAAGAAAAGAGATGCTGGATGAAAAGAAGAGCTGCGGGAACAGCGTTCCACCGAATGCAATTTATACCATGTTCGACAAATACAAGGCCAAATTTGTAGCATATTCGCCCCCAGTAAGGTTATTCGGAATCCAGGAAATTTTTGCTTGTGCATTCTGGAATCCTGGGTTTTGAAATCCGGAATTCAGCTCAAGGAATCCAGAATCCCCTTAACGACTGGATCCGGAATCCAGTTGTTGGAATCCGGAGTCCAGAGCTTGGAATCCAAGACTTACATGGGACGAGGCGTATGCTAGTAAGAAAACTAAATTGTCTCCTGATACTTACAACTTTCCAGTATTATACTGCATTTCTGAACGTCCATTGGAAACTTGTGTAGGTACATGCGACACGATGCAACAACAAAAAGCCTATATAAAGAGCAAGAGGATTTCTAGATTATTCCGCATCGAAACAGACGCTTTTGCGTAGAAGGTCAGCGATAAGCAAGGTTTATTTCTGCCTACGTAGAAGTCACTTCTTTCATTGGTTTTTTTCTGTAAAAAATGTCAATGTTTAACTGTACAAAAATTGTGTCTTAAATCGTTTCTTAAAGTGTTTAGAAATTGTGGCTAGAACGCAAATGACATTGGCTGATTTGTGGACCTAATTAGGTTCGAATTGAAGCAAAAGCTTTTTTGCCCAATTGGCTTTGTGTTGTTCAAAGTTATTGTAATTAAACAGATTGAGTTAGCTAGTTTAAGTCACCTAACCTACAAACGGTCCAAGCCTGAAGCGAAAAAGCGGCTTTTTTTGGCATTGCATCAAGTTTGTATATAAGGGCTCCGATGACTGACGTGCTAGTAATTGCCTTTTCCAAAAAAAAGAGCTCACTGATCAGTCTGAGTTATAGCTTACTGAAAAAAAGCCTGGTTTCAAACAGTTGATAAGCGTGAACTTGTCTTTTATACGGAATCTGTGCGTTACCTTGCACTGTAGTAAACGCTTCCATATTTAGATATAAGAGCCAGTTGGTTATCCTCGTACAACTTGTAGTCATTATTATTTGTAAAGTAAGTATCCGGTCGCCATATATCCTCTGTATCTTTGCCTTTTACTGGTAGGCTGCCTTCTAAGCCATGTGCTAGTCTCCTATCCGTCCATTCTTGACGCAAATACATTGACGTTGTAAATTCCTGCAACAAAATCGACAAACCATTAGTCAAGAGATTTTCGCCAATTGATGTTGTCTTAAAAGACTCTGTAGGTTCTTGACGTGATAGACCAATTACAGAAAAACCAAACATTCAAAAAAGAGAACAATTTCCATCACACTGATACGTTAACACGAGTTAGGGCACCTCATATTAATGAGATTCCACCGATAAAAATGTAGTAAAACTTTTAAGTTTTACTCCATTTTTAAAGTCAATACTACTGATCATGCTCGAAATTTTATGCAACAAGTAATAATCAACGCACAAAGTAGACTCACCATATTTGATTCCTTTATATTTGTAAATGACTGAATAGCCATGCTGAGGTATACTTTAACAGGTTTGCCTGGAAGACACAAAAAAACATAGGTAAAATGAAAAAGCGCACGGGAGCCACAGGTAACCCAGGAATCACTAAGAGGTAACTAATAATCAAGAGAATGTTAAATCTCTAACTGCGACTATGAAAGTTCTTCTTTGCCGCCGCGACTTGCTTAAATTTCTCGAGGCAAGTGGTTTAAAAGTTCTCTTTTCTAACGGTGTCGTTTTATACCGAATGAAGAGGAACAATGGAGACCCTCAGAGGCAGACGGTTCAAACTACACGGACAAATCCCACCTGGCACAGGGTACCGTAGCAGATGACTATTACTTACACATGGAATCGGAGATTTAAGAGCAGTTGTCTGTAAGATTCGAGCTATATTAAAAAGGCGCTGCCACACTATCTCACCGAATTGGCTAAAAATTGGCATGTAGACTTGATTTGAGGTCTTTAATAAGGAATTGGTAACTTTAGGTTCTAATTCCTCCTACTTCGGAAATTATCGACATGGCCGGTTCTTGGGTGCCTCGGACCGGCGCCATATTGGTTAATAGAAGCCGCTTTTGAGCCTTCGACTACAACCCTGTCTTCAAAGCTAATCTTCCTTTGCCAATACAGATTGAAAGAACAATCCCTCTTTATTGTATTTTTAGAAACTACTTCGAAATTGATAACGTTTTCGCATCGATCGATTAAACTTTTGGTGGGTATAGTTTTTGAATTTTTTACACCCGCAAAATTAACAGAATTTTAAAGGCGTATATCTCTTTTGCCACATCGCATTGAAGCTTGCCAATCTGCCTGAATACTCACTGTTAGTAGTTAAATCGAGTTCATTAATAAAAAAATTGGGCAAATTTAACGGAGCAGAAACAAAAGTAATGAATGGAAGACTGTTCTAGCGACTTTGTCAATAATCTGTACACCGAATACTCGCCAGGTGTTGCCAAAATTACAATCGATAATAGAGTTTCTGTCATTAAATCTGAGTGATCTGTGTAATAAAATAAGCCTCTGTAATATAATCGATAACTCTGCTGCGAAAAACAGTACAAAAAAAGGCAGATTGTGTAAGGAAAAGGAAAATGAATTTGTTATGTTTATGCTATGACGCGTAAACAAAATTCAACCATCACAGTCGAACTGGAATTTTCCTGATTTTCCTCCAGTTCCTTTACCGAAACCAGAGCTTTTAAAATTAACCATAGTAATGAAAATTGAGATGTATTACCTTACTCGACGACAAAGTTGCCAGTTTCCACCTTGATCGAAAAAAAGAATATTTTCCCACGCATATCGCGGGTCGTCACGTTCCTTGCCTGGCGTTACAACTCACGTGAAACCGCCCGGTTTCAAACAACTGAACTGAAGAATCCGTGAAAATCTTAGCCAGGCAATAAATAATGGCAGTTGATATAAGTTATCATTATTAGTGAGCGAGGATCGATGCGATGATAGTTCCAGCTACATGTGTTTAGTGTTTGAAGATTTACTCAAAACTCATGAGACATGACCCCTTGAAATAAACATCATTACTTCCGGTTTTAAAAATTGGGCGTTGGCAAAGTAATGAATAGACTCATTCTACCTTGTACACCGTTAACACCGGTTCCGTGTACAATTTTCAGGTATTTTGTCTCAATCACGAAGCCCGTTTTGAGGAGATTCTTGAAAAACAGAAAAATTGGTTTGGAAGGGGTTAAGAAGAATGAGGGATGAGCCCGGGACAGCAAAAACCACAGTCACCCCACCGAAGGGCTTTAAAACTGTGCGCAAATGCCTCACCCTAGGGACAATTCCAGATTTTTGTTTCCTTGAAAAAGCTTAAAATCGCTAGACAATGCATGGACAACTCAAGACAGTCCTAATTCAAAATAAAGTAAACAGCAAAGAAAATTCAGTTAGAGACCAGAGTGTTTATCCGATATCGCGAACAATAAGGAGTGATTGAAGATGTGTCTGCAGTTTAAGGTAAAATCATTTACCATGCTCACGGACCTTTCGACAACAAAAGTGTACCGATTGACGTACAATATCAGTGGTAAAAAACGAACGCTTTTCACTGTAGGACGATGACGTCATCATACAAAAGGCGTCTTCAATCTGGCATCCAGAATTTCAAACAGTCAAAACCTAATTTTCTCTGCTCGTCAAATGAAAAACGCCTCTGAGGGCAAGTAGTGGTGATGTGCTTGTTAGTAAGACGTCCAACATAAGGAGACATTCATAATCAACTCGGTTAATGCATTGATAAAGGGAAACTTTCTCCTTTACCCTTAGGGACAGAGTTCAAAGGCGCAAAAGATTTTTAGTTCAGCTCTAGCATGTGTTGTCTAGCGATTTGCGTTGAGCTTCTCTAAATTTTCCAGATCAAACAAGCTGTGCCCATCGTACATAATCTTGTCTGGGCTCCCTTGAAAAATTGCAATTCATCAGATGCCTTCAAGTTCATCCTCCGCGCGCGACAACTTCGTGATCTATTTTAATGGGTGGTTTTCTGGAACTATCCTATGGCTTGTCCTTTCTGGTCGTCACTATATTAGCGAACATGTTTCAATTTCTCTCCAGCAAAAGTCTCTATCAGGAGCGTAGCCAGGACTTTCCAGGTGTGCGGAAAATTTCCAAAACTTACCCTAACATCTTACTCAGTTCTCTCGCAACGTTTGCCCACTACACTTGCTAATTCTGTTAATTAGGTGAGGTTTTGCGTGGATGAAATGGCACTTGCAATCGGTGAGAAAATTAGGTTAGACACTTTACCCTCAAGGACGACTCTCACGTTTTGCTGACACTTTCTACCTTAGAAGAGATAAGTGAAGCTTTGCCTTCCCCACTCCGTGTAAAAAAATTTCGTTCGGCTGTTCAAACTACTTTTAGAAAACAACAAACTTCCCAACTTTAATTTTTAATCAAGGTATAAGGGTAGGAATCCAAATTGTTTTGGAGTATTTCACTGATTTTAACACTATAATTGTAAAGTAGTGTCTAGTGAGTACGGGGCTAATGCCCCATCGTAAAAATCTGAAATTGAAAACAAAAATCTTTTATAACCGAGTAGTACACAATTTTAGTTATTTTATTGAGTTGTGAAAAATCACAAATTTGTTTCTTCTTGAATGTGTTATACTCTCATCCATTCAGTCTTTCCGATATGCCCGTCGGATAGCGGAAGTTAACGTAAATGATCGATTACCTGAAAAGAAGCTACCATCCTAACTTTCCACCTTCGGGTCTTTTCCCTAGCCATAATTTTTTTCCCTCAAGGAATTTTTCTCTGTTTTACATAATAATTGGTCTTGCATTCAGCTTATCGATTTTGAGAGCCTAGTCCTATGCCGTATTCTGATGCGATCTACTTTATGTAGCTTTCCCCCCATCTAACAGCTCCTCACTGAACAAAAACGGCTTTAATTGAGTCTATTCAAAGAACTAGCCAATATTTTTCCAGCGGTAAGCACAATGTTCCTAATTCCCCCTAGTTCCCTTCTTAGACGCTTTCATGTGCATCAGGTGTTAAATTTTCTTTTCATGAGCTACAATGCTCATAATCGCGCATTCTGATGTCATTTATGCTTAAAAAATTAAAAATTAGTTTATCGAAGAAAGAGTGAATTAAAGGTGTCATGAGGCGTTTGTAATTTCATGAACTATTTGACGCGGTCCTTTTCTTACGGCTTATGTCCGTTGGTGAAATCGCTACTTGGGTTTTCTTGGATTGAAAAGGGCGGGCTCTTTCTAAACGTGGCGTTGTTTATGGGACCTTAGTATTCAGAACAGAATCAGTCGATGGCAAACAACGAAAAGGCTTTTATGTGGTAAGTTACAGTGATGAACCTTGCCTCGAGATGGTCATATTTTTGTGTACATACCTTCATGCAATTCAGTGTTGGTCTGAAAATTTTTGTTATGGATGGGGGAAGGGGTGGGGGAGAGATCAGAACATGTACCTCGTGTTGTTTACGAGACATTAAAGTAATGAAAACTGTTAAACAGTCTTCTACAAATCAAAATAGTTGCAAATGCTTACGGGAGGCCCTAACTATATGATGATAAGAAGGGCTGTATTTGGAAAGGTGCATGGTCGTAGAGTTAAGGAGATTTGACTAATCAACCAATTTCCCGCTAAACAAAAGGGCGTGGCCAGTGGCCCCAAAATTGTGTTCGCTCGCCCCGGGCTGGCTCGACTTTTGGGATACGGTTATGGGGTTATAAACAATGAGTTCATCATCTATATAGCCTACTCGCCCCAAGTGACTGCATTTCGCTTTTCAGAGACCCATCAGTTACTGTATGACCCTCTCCGATCAGATTTTATGTCCGTGGCACTGGTGGTGAGGTCAGTCTACAAGCAGAGTCGTGAAAAACACCGCCACTTGAGCCTTTAATTTACGTTCAAAACATTCCTGGCTATCGGGAAAAAAAGAAGGAGCTTTTAAAAATACTAAATAAAATGTCATTTCAAATATCACTTTGTCACCGTTCGAAAATTATTGTAGATCAGACCGAATGAAAGTTCACTCAATGAGGGGGAGGGGGGAGGGGGGGTTGGTAGTTCTTAACAGTTCCAGTTAGCTAGAAAATTAAAAGTTACGAAAAAATAGTGGGCGAACTGCAGAATACATGCAAGAATGAGAAAGAAAATAGAAAACAACTTCCTGTTCAAATTCGGGTGAAACGTTTAATAGCGTCAAGAAGACTGAACTTGATTGAGGTTGTTCATTTCAGTTCCGTTCCAGCGTGCAGTTCCTTGTCCTCCTAAAAATAGCTTCGTCTCCCACCGATCATTCCATGTCATATTTTGCGGACTTATTATTCAGTAATGAAGGTACGATCAGGTAATTTGACTTGATGAGTTCTTTAATTTCATTTCATGTACTAGTTTTATATCTTACGCTGGAAAGATCTGCCATACAGTGTACATTAGCAAAGGTAGGTTCCTGTTTACACGTGTAATTATCGAATACCATACAATTTGCATAAAGCTACAGTGCACGGTTGGTTTTTCTAGCCTTTTGATTAAAATTGACAACGTTTGCGTTATCTTTGCCTAAGAAAATATGTAATTTGTAGCTGTATACAGCGAAATACTACAGAGAAAATTGTAACTGTGCAGTACACGAGCGGCTCCCGATTGGTCTGGGAAATCGAAGAGCGAACTTGAGCTAGTACCGTGTGTAACAAAATTTATAATTTTTATTTTAGCGCATATTTCAAGCTCTTCGCAAGATCAGAATCGAAAGATCATCTGTTTACATTACAAGGGAGGGTTTTTTAAGCGATAGATAGGGTTTAAGAGGCACGATCAATTTTTAAAGAATTTTCTTTTCAAATATTCACCGAATTTTGTTTTGAAGTTTTAGCGGCCAAGTGGCTGAACCAATGCGCGTTCATGCAATCATATCTCTGTTCCGTTGCATTTGCCCAATTATTTTATTCAACAATCTAACTTAGCTATAAACAAACTATGTTTAGTTAAAATGGCTTAGTCTAAATCGATGTGGCATGGGTGATATTGGCCTTCCAATTTCTACCAAATTTGTGTACCGTTTAAGTACCGAAAAAGTGCTGTGAGAAGTTATAGCCGTTCGTAGCTCAGGCTTAACCATTTTCAGATAAGAGTAGGTAAATGAAAGGAGGAAGGATAGTTCTTTGCAACTGTATGAGTCACGATTAAGTTATTTTAATGATAAGGCTAGAATTAATTACTGTAAATCTCCTTCAGTTCACCAACATGGCGGCCACTCGAGGCCTCGTCAAAACTGTCATTCCTGTATCTTGGAAACCAACGAGAATTCGAACCTTAGAATATGCATTCAGTATTTAGGACACCATTCTAAGACTACATGCCAAAAATCAGCCAAATCGATGAGGTACCGTGTCAGGCCGAAGTTCGAATTTTACAGAAAATCACTCTTAAACTTTTGGCTCAGCAGTTAAATAAAACTCCAGCTCTTGGTGATCGGGCTTTGAACCAAGGAATTTCAAGTCTAGTGCTCTGGGTATCGCTACGTCCGTGATGCTTGCTGTAGTAAGAAGTTCTATAAACTCATATGTACTATCCGCACATTTTGTGTTTTCTGTTCCTATATTGGGGAAGTGTGGCGTGGCAGGCGTTTGAAAGAAAGATGGAAATGGAAATCGGGCGAGTGAGAACGAAAAAGACGCACACTGCCTTCCCACCTACCTCGCGCCTTCTTTGCGTTCTAGCGGGCCTGTTGTTTTCCCTCCCTTTCGAACGTCTGCTGCCAATATGACAATATGTTTCCTCTATTCAGTAAACTTGTTGCTAACAGTTTAGGGGCAAGTGTGGGATGTTGACAGGAGTCGGTGGGGTAAGTTTACATCAGATTCAAAGTACGTAACTGAGGTTAAGAGGGAACATTTCGGTGGGATACGAAGGGGGAGTGTATCCCGGGAGAAGTCAAGGGGAGCATCCACAGAACCCCTCGGCGTGTATCTACCCCTGATGTTATTCGAAAAATTACTTCAGTGAGAAACGTACCTCTAGCCCCAGGTCTTTCGTTTTTATCGTACTTAATATCTTCAAGACGCTGCTCCAAAATGGCGGACGCGTTTGGAATTTCTCTTCTATCTATGTCAGTGCTTTCTTGGGCAGAAGCTCTGTGTTAAAGCAAAAAAGATATTTCTTGCTTGAACAACCCTCACTACTCCACAGAGGTTCAATGACGTGTTGTTGGATTTCCGCCACGCAAAAATAGCGCATGCGCGAAACCCGGATTTTTGTGCCCGCACTCACTCTCGCCAGGCCCCTTTGAGCCACTGTGGAAGAGAGAGTAAACAACCTGCATCCTTTAATTTCCCAAGTGACAAACTAAGAGGCCCGTTAACCGTAACAAAAGCACGCTAATTTAAAGCAAAGAATATCAGGGTGGTGTCAGTGCAGGAGTGAACACTACAATTTAGTTGTATAGACTTGAGATGATTAAGAACATCTACTGCTCTAAAAATATTTAATAACCGAAGTTTTGAGTGCTGGGTTGTGGGTTAGCAACATACTCATCCACAATTGCTTCTTTTCCTCTGACAAACGGTGTGCACTCGAAAAGTCACCTTTGGACTTCCTGTAGGGTGGCCTTTTTTAAATAGATTTACTTATGGAAAGTCAAGTGACAAGGAGTTGTCTTGGTTACAAAATATGACGTCATAAATGACATGAGGCTAAACAATGCAGTGCATGTTTTTTATACCTTTCCGTGAAAATTTATAACAAGTTCAGGATTACAATTGAAGACGTCTGAATAAACGATGTTGTTATTTATGAAAGTCTAGCATACACATTCAGGGCCGTAACTAGGATTTTTGTAACGGGAGAGCATTATCGCGAGTGCCGAAGCCACGAGCCTTGTAAGGTGGTCTGGGGGTGCTCCGAAACGCTATTTTCAGCACTTGTCATGGGATATGTCTCCGAAAAGTCGACCTCGAATATGAAAATGGCAAACAATTGCAAGTCACTATAATTAAAGTAACTGAGTCTAAAGAAAACAGATCCATGCACAGACTTGATGTGTCTGGTTCAATAGGTCCAGGGGGGCAGCTGCCCCCCTTGCCTCCCCGATAGCTACGGTTCTGATATTTTTGCATCTTTGGGTAACGGAACTGTTTGGGTTTCACTGTTGTAACGAGTTCATTACAGGCTTGCATTTACCGTATATGTCTAAGACAGGACGACATTCGTTAAGTCTAGAGGGTCTAAACGCATGTACGTTTTTAATCGTGAAAACATACTTACCCAAGGCCCACATGTCTCATGGAATGACAGAAAATCAGGAAGAATAATCCTCTTATGAATAAAGCTGGCATATCTATTCTGTTAAATAAATAGGATCAGTTGGAAAATAAGTGCCTTCCGCTACGGAATCGAATTCGAGATGAAGCCTCAAATAGAGCGGCCGATAGGTAAAGTCAAAGGTAATTTCAGGTTTGCTTTTCACTTTGGCGGCAAAATTAACAACAGTAGTCCAACATAAATGCAATTTCGTTAATCATTCTCTAGAACAAAACACAAATATTTTTATATAAAAACAATGCCAAAATTAACGTTGCCATTTTTGTTGATCGAAATTTTGATAAACAGTTTGACGGTCGGTTTTGTCTTTCTTGCGGATGCATGCAACCAATCTAGTTATTAGAACAATTATACATATTGAGAACTCGAAAAAAGAAAATTGATACCGTTTTTATTTCAATGAGGTTGAACATTATAGTTACTGAACTACGTAAAATGAGTTTTAGTTCTTCGTTAGGAATCTCTTTCATCATCAGTTCCTTGATCACGCAGATGTTTTTGCATGTTTCGTCATTATCACTTTTCTTGGATTTCGGTACCTATATTGATATTTATCTGAAAAGTTACTTCGGTTGCGAGAAAACAATGATCAAGATCTAAATCTAACCCGTTTAAATAACTTTTTGAGACCATAAATGGTCATAAAGTGAGATAATTCCTAAGCGCTTTAATTTTGTGTTTGATGTGTTTAATCAAAACTGCATTTACCCATCCTAACGGTATCATAACTATCACTTAAACCACTTTCCCCTGTTTTACTTGTGAACGGTCATTGGATAATTATAACTGATTCGGCATCAGCGCTTATCAAGATTTTTAAAAATTTTTTTACACTGTGGTTATTATAACGTTTTTGTCTCCGTTTTGTCTACCAAACGTTTTCTCATATCTCTCATTTCCCACACTCAAAACGCGAGTTCTTTCATTTATGTGACACGCCATCGTTAAATGTAGTGTTTTTGAAAGATAATGAAATTCAGGTCACTAGATTTAAAAAAATAAAACTGTATTTGTATGAATTGCCATCGTTGTGGTCTTTTGAGCACTGAAGATAAAGCAGACAATACTGTGGAAGTGTTCATCTCTGTTTAAACGTAAACACATTCAGGGCAAGCTGTCAAAAAAAGCTTGGATATCTTAAAACGTGAAGTCTTAGTTCTTCTAATTTCTGCATTAACGACATAACTTCACGCAAAAGAACCAAACGCGACGAAATAAAAAAAATAATGATGATGAATCGGCTTGAATGAACTAAGTGTTTTCTGAAATCTAGAAATCATGCGTGGATCGAAGGACATTCACAAAAAGGATTTTGAATTTAGTACTTGCATCTATTTATAGAAGACTGAAATAATTCTTCTTGAAAAAGCTTGAGGGATTCGAGTAAATGATTTGATTTTTGATGAAAAGAAAAGTCTTACCTTTCTAATTACGAACTGTTTACAGCGGCAAAAAAGACTCCTTGTAACTGAAACGACGATGCTACTAAAAGCCCCCAGCCTTCACAGCTAAAGGTTTTCCATTTGCAAGATTTTATCTTCTGAAATCACATTTTAAAGACGATTCCTTTCATAGGTTGCTCTACAAATTTGGAGCTGATTCTGAGTGAATATTGAATGAATGGAAATGACTCGTGTATCGTTAGATTCGTTTCGCATCAGTTAAATATATTGCCAAAGAAATTAGAAGGAGAAACCATAAAGAAGAGAAATAATTGAAATTTTCATAAGTTATTTGACCATGGTTATTAAGTGTCGCATTTCATAAGTGTTTTGTCGAATTAGTGGCTATCCCTGGTAATGAAATATTTATCTTTTTACGTTAAAAGGTCTGTAAATACGTACCGCGACCAAAAAAATCAGCTTATTTTAAAGAAGCCTCACTCATAAAAAGTGCGAAAACACTTAGAGGGGTGGGCGAGATAATAACTTGAGTTAAATTCCTGACAATAGCTGATTAACTGAGTAGAATTTGATCCATTTTTTTTGTTAAGCATCCAATATAGCTCTTTTAAATTTCATACTTAATAACAGTACTTTAAATTTATGTTATGGAATATCGTCACACTTTAAAACCTTTTGCTAGAAAATATATAATCCTTGTTCTCGCTACAGCAGCCTTCAGAACCGTATTATTGGGGTGCTCTTATCAAATTACAGACGGCTCGAACTTAGTTGCGTTACTATTTCTTTTGGCTTTTTATTTATTTATATTTATTCATATTTCCTTTATTTTTGGCAAGTCTACTCTTTGCCCTTTCGTTTTCTTTTTCTGTTCATTACACAAATATTCTGATTTCTTTGAATGACAACAGGTGCCAGGAAAAGAAAGAAAAGTAAACTTCTTGTGAGAATTGCGAACTCAGAGACCTGCGTTATCGGTTTTATTCCGATGAAAGGAAGTCAGTTATCATTTATAACGGCCTGGCACTTCTTATGCACTTAGGGGGTGAAAATACGTCAGTTTAAAGTATTCTTCCTTAATTCATCATTATCAATCATTGTCATGACAGAGAATCCGCAAAGCTCATGTTCTGCTTGCATTGTGGGCCCGCGAGTCTGACTTTGGATAAGGATGGAACGAACATTTAGGTTAATTATTAATTTTGATTGTGGTGGCTATCATGTTCACGTCCCAACACGCTTATTTAATTTGTTTAGCTCACCGCAAGCGATTTTGCTGCCGTTCTGTTTTCCCAGCACCTCCTGATGCTGCACCGTTCTTCTGCCGTCCAACATCCCACGGTTCCGGTCTCACACCATTTAGGCCTGAATATACTCTCAACACATAGTTTTTGACAGGAGGGGAGGAGGAGATATTTATGCCTACCAAGCAGGTGTTCCGGATCATCTCATTAAGCCACATGGGGATTTTTCGTCGCTCCGACGCCTATCAAGCTTATCTATCCCTGCTCTTGTCCACGCGCACACAAGTAGCTTAAATTATGGCTTCGGGTCCCTTGAGAACACTGTAGACTCTGGCGTCTAGTGCGCTCTTTTTCAGTAGTGATGTAGAGATGTTAGCCTGTTCCAGGCGTTCAGATAGTGGGGAGCGGTGCGAAGTAAAAAGGAACGCGAAAAAAATAAAAGCGATGTCAGTACTGTTTCTTTCTCTACGTAATCTCATGGTCTTGTCTCATAATTTCATTTTCTTCTACCTAACTTTCTATAATTTCGTCACGTTTGGATCAATTTCTTGCAATATTTTTGGGGAGTACGAACTCCATTGTTTTGTAACCCAAACGTGCCTCAATTGTGTCATTCGTTAATTTCAGAAATCAGTGAAGAAGTAATTCAAGTGTTTGAGTGTAAGACAAATAGGTGAACTATTGATACTTGCTTTACTGCCGTTCCCTTGTTACCTTCCCCCCCCCTCCCCCCCTCTATGGGGAGCAAGATCTCCATTTTGTTATTAATTTTGATTCGTAGCCCCGTGGACCACCCCTTATTTTTGAAGATGAATTTTACCAGAGGAACCTTAGGGTCAAAATTGCAAATTGTTCACGACTCCATTGTCTCGCAATTCCCAGAAGAGGCTTGAGAATAAAGAAAACCAAACCAAGTGTAGAAAAATGACCAAAAACAGATTACAGAGATAAAGGGAGAGGGCATGATCGCAGGCTAGCCACGGAGTCGATGGTAGAATTTGGGTTTAAGATCAAATTGACCTGCGGTTTCACAGAGTAGCCCCGGTAGGGACTTGATGTATGAGGACATATATTGTACCATAACCGGTGGGTAGGTACCCAGAAACCATTGCAAGCTTCTGAAAATATATTTCTCAAAATATAAAACTCCTCGAGTCGTGGAAAAGCCA